TGCTTATCTAGACTGCAGGTAGTTCCGAAATGAACTGGGAGCCTTTTCCAGGGGGATTTGCAGCAATGGTTTCACCTTGAACCCCAATCGGCCTCGGCAGATGGCCGCTTACACCGAGTCTGGTTCTGCTGGAGCTGTCTTTCTGTTAAAAGGGAGTTTTTTCCTCTCCATTGTCACTACAAGCAAGAGTCAATGAGTCGATGCAATCAACTGGTTTTTCTTGGATAGAAAACTTTGAATCAATTTGACTGGATGATCTGATAAACTGTAAAGTGCCTTCAGATGACATGTGTTGTGAATTGGCGCTATATAAATAAACTGAATTTGTTTTAATTGAACAAGGCCTTTGCTGATGTCTTTCAACCCTCGCTCTTTGCAAACACAGACCAGTATGCTTGACGTTAATTCTTTTTATCTTTGCCTAAGAGGAAGTGTTTACTTGTACCGGCTGCACGCTTTTACTTTGAAATGCAGTCAGGGTTTGCGTGTACATGTGGGGATGAGGGGCCGGTTCCCCTGCACCTGCTCAGGTGGTTTTTCCCAAGCTGGAAGCCGCAGCAGAACAGATCGGCACACCAGAAACAAAGAGAACAAAGCAGCTGAGAGTTTCAGTCCTGTGGTAGAAAGTAAAGAGGATTGAAAAGAATTACATGCATGTGGACTCTGACCCCACACACACACCACCGCACACACACAGGCTTTGTAATCTCCTCGCCCTGCTGCTGAATGCAGCTAAAACGTGTAGACAGAAGAACATGGAGGAGAGCTGCAGCTGAGTGGTGGGGTGGGGGGGGGGGTCATGCTTAGCGTTTCCCTTCAGGTGAGGACACCGCCGGCTGCAGGAAACATTAGGAAGCGTCCAGCTGCTCCACCCAGAGCAAACACTGACCTCTGTTCTCCGTAAATATCAGGTTCAGTGAAAGGCTGTGACATCATCAGAAGGGTAGGGGCCTCCAGGTGTGGCAGAGCTTCAACATGTCTTCCCAGTTGACCTCAGATGTTCTACGTTTGGAGAATTTCATGTGATTGTTCCGCCTTCCCTGGATAGAGAATCGTTCTTTTTGTTCCTCTTGGGCAAAACTGCTCTTTGAACAGAAGACGCTGGAAACGCTTCGGTGTTCCTGTAAACAGAACAAAGTCGATTGTGTTGACGTCACTCTAACCGATCCCCAATGTGTTGCCTTTTTTTTTGTAAATGTTTTTTTTTTGGTCTGATTCTTTAGGCAGATATGTTTTTTTTCCTTGGGGAATTCTAGGAAAGGAGAATCTGAGATATTTAAAAGACTTTCAGTCCTCTGGAGGCTGATGGAACGACAAACAGGTCTTCAATCAACTCCAAACAATCAGAGAAACTTACTGACGTTCAATCCTCAGATTTTTAATCTAAATTTGCAGTAGCAGCCTTTGAAAATGGCCATTCCCAGTCAAAAGCCAGTCGAATGGCAGTCAACTTCCCTCCAACTTCCAGCCACTGCAGAGACCCCATATTGCATATATTTTACTCTGACTTCAACCTTTCACTGAATTAAAAGGCCTGACCAGGAGATAACGCTTCTCTTTAGATTTTAATGTCCACAAAGATTGATGTTTAAAAATGAATTGTAGTGGACCAGCCAAGGGCCCATCAAGGAAAGTAGTGAAACTTTGGATGGCTACTACTGTATGACACAAAAATGACCTTGTTTAATGACCACTATTTCATTCAGTCACACAATTTCCCTCTGATCTCATATGATGACATAGTTAATTATTTAGTGAACGCTCAGTGCAGACACAAAGGCCCTGAAATCCACAGACTCTTTCAGTCAATGTTTTACCGCCTAAATAAAAGACGGTCAAACCCTTTATGTGAATAACAGAGTTCTGTTTAGTAGAACAATAGAAAACCACGTATGTAGCCTTTATGGCTAGCAGACACAAGCTACGTTAGCTAAGCTAACCCTATATTAATTAAGCTAAGGTTTGTTGTGGTCAGTAAATATCAGATATTTATAACACTATCACTCCATTAATATCTACTTTCACCATGGGTGTCTTTAATACAAGATTAAGTGATTAAAAAAATTATTTGGAATTATTCCTCAATCATAATATTTCACCATTTAGGGACTGATTGACATTATTTTAGCTGAATTAGTCTGTAAATGTTCTAACTTTATTGAAGTCTATTCAGTTTATTTCTAAAGTGCCAATTCAACCAGATCATAGTCAGATCTGTTGATTGTATGGACTCATTGACTCAAAGGCAATCCCTCATGCATATAGCATGCATATAGCGACAGTGGAGAGGAAAAACCTCCAGCAGAACCAGGGTCAGTGTGAGCGGCCATCTGCAGAGGCCGACAGGGGTTCACGGAGACAGAAGCAGAGATAGAAAAAGAGCTGCCTTTCCACCTGTTTTCGACTTTCACAGTTTATTTAAAAAGTGCAATAAAGTATGTTTTTTACAAAAATTTATTTTTATTCGTAATGTTAATTCACTAACAGTGTCTCTTTTTAGAGTAATAGAAAAAATAATTGATTAATGAATCTATTACTAAAATAATTGAGTCTTCCTGATGGATCTGATCTGGAAGCTCTTGGTGTCTCAGCTGCAAGAAGGAAAAAGATGTGGAAATGAGAGGAAGAGGCTGAAGACTGTCCTCCTTATTGGATCCTCCATGGAGTCTGCTTGGGTTCAGATTCTGCTTGGTTCTGTTATTTCTGGGCCTTTGTGTGTTTTCTAACATTGGGCTTCTTTTCTCCCTAAGTGCTGCCTTGCAGGTTCCTGCTCCTCCTCTCACAGTAGATACAGTCAGGTTGCCATGGATACACACTGGGAATAAAACACAGAGTCCTGGGAAAAGTAATCACACGTGGCTGTATGGTACAAACTGGGTCATAAATCCGCTCTGGGAGGCTTTTGTGTGCAGAGTTTTAATTTCAGCCCGGGTGGAAGGTTTGCTTCTGTGCAGGAAAGTTTTAATGACACTCTGAGCCAGACCCGAAAGAGGTTCTGATGGTTTGGAACAGTCATATGGACAAGGTATGAGACGATATACAGGTGCTGGTCATAAAATTAGAATATCATGAAAAAGTAGATTGATTTCAGTAATTCCATTTAAAAAGTGAAACTTGTATATTATATTCATACATTACATACAAACTCATATATTTCAGATGTTTATTTTGTTTAATTTTGATGATTACAAATGACAACAAATGAAAATCTCAAATTCATCATATCAGAAAATTAGAATATTACTGAAGACCAATAAAAACAAAGGATTTATAGAAATGTTGGCCAACTGAAAAGTATGAACATGAAAAGTATGAGCATGTACAGCACTCAGTATTTAGTTGGGCCTCCTTTGGCCTGTATTACAGCAGCAATGCGGCGTGGCATGGAGTCGATCAGTCTGTGGCACTGCTCAGGTGTTATGATAGCCCAGGTTGCTCTAATAGTGGCTTTTAGCTCTTCTGAATTGTTGGGTCTGGTGTATTGCATCTTCTTCTTCACAATACCCCATAGATTTTCTATGGGGTTAAGGTCAGGAGAGTTTGCTGGCCAATTAAGAACAGGGATACCATGGTCCTTCAACCAGGTACTGGTAGCTTTGGCACTGTGTGCAGGTGCCAAGTCCTGTTGGAAAATGAAATCTGCATCTCCAAAAAGTTGGTCAGCTGCAGGAAGCATGAAGTGCTCTAAAACTTCCTGGTATGTGGCTGCGTTGACCCTGGACCTCAGAAAACACAATGGACCAACACCAGCAGATGACATGGCACCCCAAACCATCACTGACTGTGGAAACTTTACACTGGACTTCAAGCAACGTGGATGAAGTGCCTCTCTTCTTTTCCTCCAGACTCTGGGACCTTGATTTCCAAAGGAAATGCAAAATTTACTTTAATCAGAGAACATGACTTTGGACCACTCACCAGCAGTCCAGTCCTGTTTCTCTTTAGCCCAGGCAAGACGCTTCTGACGCTGTCTGTGGTTCAAGAGTGGCTTGACACAAGGAATGCGACAGCAGAAACCCATGTCTTTCATACGTCTGTGTGTGGTGGTTCTTGAAGCACTCACTCCAGCTGCAGTCCACTCTTTGTGAATCTCCCCCACATTTTTGAATGGGTTTTGTTTCACAATCCTCTCCAGGGTGCGGTTATCTCTCTTGCTTGTACACTTTTTTCGACCACATCTTTTCCTTCCCTTCGCCTCTCTATTAATGTGCTTGGACACTGAGCTCTGTGAACAGCCAGCCTCTTTAGCGATGACCTTTTGTGTCTTGCCCTCCTTGTGCAAGGTGTCGATGGTCGTCTTTTGGACAACTGTCAAGTCAGCAGTCTTCCCCATGATTGTGTAGCCTATAGAACTAGACTGAAAGACCATTTAAAGGCTTTTGCAGGTGGTTTGAGTTAATTAGCTGATTAGAGTGTGGCACCAGGGGCCATCAATTTTGAACCTTTTCACAATATTCTAATTTTCTGATATGATGAATTTGAGATTTTCATTTGTTGTCATTTGTAATCATCAAAATTAAACAAAATAAACATCTGAAATATATGAGTTTGTATGTAATGTATGAATATAATATACAAGTTTCACTTTTTAAATGGAATTACTGAAATCAATCTACTTTTTCATGATATTCTAATTTTATGACCAGCACCTGTACAGTAAACATTGAACGCAGCAGATGAGGTTTGAGGCCTGAAATGCAGCAGGAGCGAAACTGATCATTTGCAAATTCAGAGTTCATCCTAAATGTTTCTTAACGCTGCCATCTATGTTCTAGACCCCTTCTCAGTCCACACCATGACATCAGCTGTTTACATTTTATGGATCTAGGAAGGCACCAGCTTAGGAATAAAGGGTCCATCAGATATGTTTTTAAGAAACTTTGGAACAAAATGTAGATTAAAGGTGTAGGTTTTCGCTACAGAAGGAACAACACTGCTTCCTCTGGTTGTGGTGGCGTTTGTTTCTCTGATGACGATCTTTCCATTGATCTGTGTTGCAGCTGAGCGTCACCGGGCAGCAGCATGAACGGATACGATCCTCCAGCTCTGAACGTCTTCAGCTCCAACATCAAGTGAGTCACATGATGATGATGTCATTTCACCTGTGAAAGATGAATGAAAAATAGATTCCTGCTAAAAATTACCGTATATTCTCCTGGATTCAGAAAGAGATCCGTCTGTAAACTCCTTATTCTGTTCATGTGAGAATTTCGGACTCAGTCAGATCAAAAAAGTTTAAACCAGACGAGCATCTGAGAAATCTGACAGGACTGATTGTAAAAAAAAAAAAAAAAAAAAAAAAAAAAAAAAAAAAAGCTAAGTTCAGCCTGATTTTGTTAATTTTATCCCAGATTTATGAGGAAAATTTCTAAGGATACGTTTAATCTGAAATGTTGCATCAGTACTAATTTGTTGATTTTTTTTAAAGCCTCTGCAGCTAAGTTCAGACCGTGATACTGGTATTGTGGTTTAAAATGAGGTTAAAACGTGTTAGAGATTAGTACTGTAGGTTTGAACCTCCTGATGCTTAGATCCTCCTTTAGCAGGTTGGGAAACTAGAAAACTGTAGCAAATGTGTCACAAATAGAGAAATATATTTCAGCTTCTTTTATTGTGTATAAAGTTTTGTAATTTGCCGTATTCCAGTGATACTAGTGAATAAATGAATAACTGAGGTGTTTTAAATCATTCTGAAGCTGCTGTTAATTCAAATCTCTGGAAGAAAATATCCTATTTTTTCCAGGCTTCAGTCAGAGGCTTAAAGTGAGACTTTCCACACTGGGAGATTTACACGAGTAAATCTGCTGAAAGCTTCGTAATGATCCGTTGATCAGATGTTCAGGTCACATGACCAGTTTGTGTGTGTGCGTGGATGCCATCTGTCATCCCCGTCATTTATCTCATACGTGCTCAGAATAAAGTGTGAAAATCTGCATGTTCAGCATCGAGGGCTGCAGCTTCACTAACCAGGAAGTGATCAGAACATCAAGATCTGAGGCTCAATTTATCTGAGCTGATTGAAGGGCCCAGAATATGAGATGCTTCTTGTTAATATGGATGGATAAATGATGGATGGATGATGGATGTATGATGGATGGAAGGATGAATCCCTCCCTCCAGTTCAGTCTGTCCTCTCTCACTGTTCTTGTCTCTGTTGCAGTGGACACAAAGCTCCGTCTCCAGGTCCTTCCAGAAACAAAGCCAAGAGTGGTGCCAAAGCTCTGTATGGTGAGTCTATGTTCTGGTTCTGGTACCCCGGTTCTGTGAATCCTAATCCATGGTACCCGCTCTAATTTCTCCTCTCGAACAGGATCAGAAGAATCCTATTTTCTTCGCTCATCTTCCAAACAGAAAAAGAAAAGTCAGAGTGAGCCGTATGACTGACAGTTGTTTTGGTTCTGATTCTGTCTTTAAACATCTGTAGTGGAAAAACTGGAAAATATGTTTAAATGGATCAGAATACTCATGACATTTGCTCCTAGTGCTGCAGTGACGGTCTATCTGGTTCTTCATAGCCTTTGTATAGATCCAGAAATGGATTGATGGGCTCAGTATGATCCAAGAGCTTATAGAGGGCTGATCGGGTTGGTGCGTGCTCAGAACGGACAGGTACATGCGCCATGCTGTAGGGGAGTAGTTGAGTTCTGGAATCTGTTCCAGCCCATCCAGGACCAATGATCTGCATCTGAACTCTGCAAACATTCAGGAATACTAGCGGATCAAAGCAGCAGTGATCCTGTTTATGGGGTGGTGTTTATCGATACCAAATGGAGCACATATGATCTGTACTTTAGTTTAATACTGGGATTTATAATTGGGGTCATTCAATTATCCTTGAACTAAAATTTAGGCCTTTTATTGGTGAACTGGAGCATCCGCAGGTCTAATGTCCCAGCCATCTGGCTCAGGCTGCAGTGATGTAACAGCGCCCCCTTCAGTCAGTCAGGGTGTCTTCCTGGTTGATCAAAACCAAACAAATGATTAAGGCCCCGTCCACACGAAGCCGAACCCTGGCCTAAACGCACAAATTTTTCACCAAACCAGCCTCTCATCCATACGAAGCCGGCGTTTCGGGGTCTGTAAACGATCTTTTTTTTATTCAGCCTTCAGAGTGGGAAGATTTTGTTTTTGCGTTTCCATCTTTAAGCTCTAACCGCATTTTTTTTTTTACACACATGCGTCTTAGCGTCGCCTCTAAACACGCATGCGCGACACAGTATCACAACAACAATGGCGCCGTACTGTGTTGAATGGTTGCTGCTAATGCTACTCACCCTGCTGTCGGGCTTACAACAGAATCTTCTTCTTCTGGAATATCTCCAGGAAGAACAGAGCAATATTGACGACATAGTTCAGCACCTGAATTTGACTGAACCACGAAAATGGACCCGCAAGGGCAACCATGTATAAATATTAGTGCGCATGCCCAACATTTCGTCGCCTATTTTTGCTTTGGCACCACAGCGCCACTTACAGGCCTGGCATACATTTTGCAGCGTTTTCATGCATTCGTGTGGACGCTCACGTTTATTTTACGTATCCGTCTTTACGACAAACGTTCTGAAAAATATTAGCGTTTCGTGTTCGTTTTGACTTCGTGTGGACGGGGCCTTAAACTCTGAAGAGGAAATCTGTTAAAATTTTTTTTACTGCCTAGTCCCATGAGGTGGCAACAGGAAAGACCAGCCAGGTCACTGCAGCACACAAGGAAACAAGTGTTGAACATTTTTTATTCTGTATCTGCAGTTTTCTCTCCTAAAAAAAAAAAAAAAAATCTGTTTCTGTGTGTCTGCAGTGGTTTTTGTTCCATTTTTCATCTGGGAACTTGTAGACTTTAGTTTTCTAATCTGGTGTGAGTGGATTGCTGTGATTTGTTCCTGCAGCCTCAGCAGGAGCCGGTTCCTGTGATGCTTCTACCTGCAGTTGTTTGGAAAAGGTCTACAGAGGCTGCAGGTTCTGCATTGATTCTGAAATAAAATAGACAAAAACTGAGGCTTACAGAGTGTCCATGAACACATCTAACGAGCTGTGTGTGAATTGGTGTTTATCTGCAGCCTCTGCAGCTGTAAGCAGCCTGATAAACTCTCAGCTGGACCTGATAACCCGAACAGAGCAGATTGAGCAGCTGCTGACATCAGTCTGTTCACCCATCTCTGATTTATAGATCAATACTGAATGATCTGTGGTTCAGGACACGAGTCGGGGCGCGTGGTGTCTTATCTTCACCTGGCAGGTCATATGACTGTTTGTTTTTCACTGGACAAAGTTAGAAATGTGGGACAAGATGTTCGTAAAGCTGAAGGAAAGCTTTAGGAAGAGGAACTAATGTAACCTTGATTTAGATTATTGAGGAAAAAACAAACAAACTGAAATCTGTTTGGAAATTATGTTGATCTCCAAACAAAAGCTGCTGCCATCTTGCTTTAGATAGAAATAATTAAGGAATTAAAAACCATTTAATTTTCTGAATCATTAAAACAACTTTAGGCCTAGAGGAGAAGAAGAGAAACTTCACAACCAAGATGTTCCAACCTGGTACTGGTCTCATGGAGCGGTGACACATGATGAAGTTTATATGCAAAGACTCTAAAGAAAATACTTAAGTTAAAAAAAGCTAACAGTGATCCCTCCTTCAGCAATCCAGTTACTTATCTAAGCATACTGGGCTCATCCTTGTTCCTCCAGTTCCTGAGGATCCTCAGATCACAACTTTTCTGAGAACCCATGGCTGGTTCTTCAAAAATGGTGTCATTAGTGGATTAAAATACTGTAGAAGGGGGGGAAGCGGCCAGTGGTGAAGTGTGAGCAGCAGTGTGAGTGTTCACTGCTCCGCTCTCACCTCTTGCTACCAGATAGAGGTGAGGTGTTGTTAAACAGCAGCACCGCATGGAGAGAGAGGAGTGATGATTGTTGAAGATGAAATGAGCTGAACTTTTCTGTGAATCACGAAATGGCAGCCAAGCAGGGACTAGATGTAGGCCGCATTTTTTTTCCACTTAAAATGGAATGCAAAGAAAAACGATGTTGGAAAAGGAAGAAATAAAGAATGCTCTGCAGAGGTCGTTAGGTGGCTTAAAAAAAAAACGGTTTTGATTTAGCCGTGGAAGGACTGTTAATCATCCTCCCTTACCTCCAGCACAGATCCCAGCCTGTCAATGCACACTGCCCAGCATCATTGCTTTCTGCGGGGGTAGATTTACAAGGGAATCCGGCCAAATCCCACAGAATCAGAGCTGCGTCTGGACGAACCAAAGTAGATCTTTTTTTCAGAGCTTTTGGGGCTCTTCCAAAACTGACGGTCTCCCCAAAGGCGATTCAAAAGTTGTTTATAGAGAAACATTTAGCAGCAATCCGAGATGTTAAGTGTCACCTTGGCAGGAAATTACATGGGTTGCCAGGGGTTGCCAGGGGTAACGACAGGTCCAAAGTGAAGGGTCTGCGAGGCTGGTGATATCTTAAAAACCAAATCTGGACAAATGATAGTTTTACCTGCAGAAATGAAGGAGCAATGAAAAAGTATGCCAAATCATTTTTGATTAAATTCGGAACTTAATGGGGGGACAGCTGATCACTGGATGACCGAAAAATTTTCTTTAATGAAACAACAGTAGCACACAGGATCTTTTCTTAAAAAAAATATATATTTTTTCATTTTTACAAATGACCTTTTTAAATGCGCTAATCAAACCATAACTATTAAGTCAACTGAAATTTTTCTCACATCAGTGGGGTTTCAGCTCCACGCAGCGGGTCCAGGGTGTTGACACTGCATCTGAAATGCAGAGCGGTACACTACCTTTGGGGCTGGTGGAAATCACTGCGGACATCACATGTGGTCTGAATGCACCAGTAGAAGACACAAATGGATCCCATCTTAACAATGTGGAAAAATTCTTACAAAAACATGAAATCTGAAGGGTTTGATGAAAAAACTAAAAATCCATGTACTACAGAAAGATGTCACCAAAAGGCCATTGGCTCCATTTGATCATCCTGCTGGAAGAACTTACAATGATTAAGACTTTGTTTCTGTTCTTTTAGAGCAAAGGAAAAACTACACCAGAACCAGCATCAACAGTCTGACGGATACATCCCAGTACCATGTGGAGGTAAGTTCCACATGCTTCCGTCTGAATTTTGCCATAGAAACAGGCCCCAGAGTTCAGACGTTTGTCTCTCTCAGCACCTGACCACGTTCGTGTTGGACCGGAAAGATGGGATGATCACCGTGGACGATGGCATCCGCCGTCTGCGCCTGCTGGACGCCAAAGGGAAGGTGTGGACTCAGGAGATGCTGCTGCAGGTGGAGGACAAGGCGGTCAGCCTCATCGACCTGGATTCACAGGTAGGAAGGGAGATTTAGATGCTCTGCTCCTTTAAAGTCTTCAGGAGTGTCAGCAGCTCTAGTCCAGTGAGACGTTTCGGGGAAGGACAGACCTCCAGCAGGAGTAAACAGGAACTCTGTGGTCCTGAAGTTTAGACGGCTACAACAGATGCTGGGAGGCATCTCTGGAGGCAGCATCAGAACCAAAACTACAGTAGGAGCATAAGAAACATCAGGATAGTTTTAGATCACCAGAACTACGGACCAAACTACTAAATGAATCTGTGGGCTGTAGATCTATAACATCTGAATGTCATCTGCATAGAAGGCACACTGGAAGCCTTTAGAGGGGGTCATCTGGTTCATTTAAAGATTACATTGCAACATGTAGCCCACTGGCTTTCTACTAGAGTCTCACTTTCTTCCTGATTGTGAAACCCAGAGCTACCAGTGGGTAATGATTTATTTTTTACAGTCTGCAATTCCTTAGATCTTCAAATTACAGAGTTGGATATGGCTGCTAAGAAAAATAAATGTACCCAACAAAATTAACCAGTCCATATGAAGTTTAGCAGTGCATTTAAGATATCCTTAAAGGTACTGTGGAGGATTTTCTTAAATTTTTTGAAAGACCTGCCCTCTCCTTTTGATAAAGGTCTTTCTTTTCTTCTCATACACTTTGTAGAAACTTTTTCTCTTACAAGTGTTGGGTCATTTTCAAAGAACCGCAGTGAGAAAGGTGAGCTTCAATGACTGTCTGAAACCATAGCTATTCGCCTAAAAGGGCGCATGCGCAGGAAAAGATGGCTGACTGGGGATGAACATGTAGGGCGGCCTTACGTAAACACCTCACCAGAGTGATTGAAAATTAGTTATTATTAATTTTTTTTTTTCTCCCAGGTTGGGGTCTCAACCGCACCCTCTCCCAAATACATCTCAAGTCTCCGCTAAGTGCGGAGCCCATTCCCCCCGTCCTGCTCTCCCTCCGCTGGCTGGCGTCGGGGCTCACCGGTGCACTGGTGGAGCTGGGGGTGGATACCCGGGGGACTGCTGGCTCATTCCTGGCGGCCTCTCCGCTGGCCCCGGCCGGCCGGGGCTTTGCTGGGGCTCCTGTCTGGGGATCGGGTGCCCTTGGGGCCTCGGATCCCTGGGGCCTGGGACTGGATCCGCTTCGGGGTGGGGCTGGCTGTTGTTCGGGGATTTTCGGGGTCGGTGCCGGTGCCGTCGCTACGATGCTGGTTCCTGGGCGGTGTTTCTTTCCTATGCCGGTTCTGTGATATCTGTTCGGGGGGGGGAGCTGCACGGCATGGTGGGGTGCGGGTCTTGGGTCCTGTTTTGGGCTCCGGTTTTTCCGCTCGCACTTCTCCTCTTGCCTATTTATTTTAATTGTAATTATTAATTTATTAATTAATTAATTTATTTACCTATTTATTTATGTTTTTTTTTTTTTTCTCTTCCTCGGTGGGGGGGAGCGGTTGCGGGCGGGTCGGTGTCTGGTGTCTGCTGTCGCATAGTGGGGGCTCCTTCTTTTTTTTTTTTTTTTTTGGGGGGGGTTTGCTGGGTGGGGGTCCTGCTGGCGGCGCGCCGCTGGTGTGTGGGGGTCCGGGCGGCTCCGGTGGTGTTGGGGGGCCGGTCTGGGCGGGCTGGCTGCGCTGGCTGGGTATTCGGGTGGGTTTTCCCTCTTGGAGGCATGGCGGGGCTGCTCTGTTCCCGCCGATCGCGGCGGGTGGGGCTGCGGGGCGGGTGGGGGCTTGGAGTGGCTATGGCCGGCGCGTTTTGGGGGCCGGGGCGGCGGAGCTGCTCTGGCCGCGTGTCAGGGCCTGGTGCGGGCGGCGGGTGGGGGCGGCGGACGTGGCTGAGCTGCTTTGGCTTCTTCCGGTGGGGGGGCGGCGTGCGCTCCGCTCTGGCTTTGTGCTGCCCCTCGGGCTGCTGGGGGGGGTGGTTGCGCCGGCTGCGGTCTGCTCTTCTTGCGGTTTTGCGCCGGGCAGCTTTTCTGCTCTCGGGCTGATTCTGTGCGCGGTGTGTTTCGTTGCGCGCTGTTGGCATCGGTCTTGGTGGGGTGGGGCTGCGCTTTTGGCCGGGGGGGGCGTTTTAGGGGGGTCCCGCGGCGCTCGCGGCCGGTTCGCGGCAGATGCGCGTGGGCCCCGGCCGGGGCCGGGGCCGCCTGAGTGTTTTTCCTGGGTGGTGCGGTCGCGGTGGGTGTTGCGGCCGGTCGCCGGGGCTTGGTGCCGGGGGGCGGGGCGTGTTTCGGTGCTCTGTGGGGCTGGGGCGTTTCGGTCGGCGCCGTGGGGGGGCTGGTGTTCGGTGCCTGGCCCTACTTCGGGGTGGCCGGCTGCCGGCGGGGCCCGCGGACTCGTCCCCGCGGCTCCCCGGGGCGCCGGCATGGCGGTGGCTGGGGGGCTTCCTCGTGGCTGTCTCTCCTCCTCCCTTGGTGGGGGTCTGATTTCCAGGGCTGGCCCCGCTTTGGTGCCTTCGCTTCTGGGGTCCCTTTGGGCGCCTGGGGCTTTGGGTCTCCCGGCGCTGGACTCAGTGCTCTGGGGGGTGTGCCTCTCCGGCTCTCCACAACCACTATTGAGCATTTTTTCTATGGTTAAAACTTTACATGCACAAGTTCACCCTCACAAACAACTACAGGTGCTAGGCTTCAGGTACTTAGAGATTCACTTCCAAACAGAAACCCCACATTCATATCTTCAGGTGGCACAGGGTACATGTGAGACTTAATAATATTACTTTAGCGATAGTTTCAAGGTGTTTGCTTTATTGTATATCTCGCACCATGTCTTTTGGTTGTGCTGTTCTTTTTTTTCCATCTCATTGCAGGTGATGAAGCAGACTGAAAATGTTTTGTCATTGTCTCCTTCCGATCTCCTCTTTCTTTCATCTTTTGTCCTTTTTTTTTCTTTTTCTTTTTCCTTCTTCTTCTTCTGTTTTTCTGCTCTACTTACATTGCAGTGTCCATATGAACTGTAAAACTCCCTGCATAATTATAATAAAGCAATTTATATACATGAAACAAGTGGAGCAGTATGGCAATTGCGATACCGCTACACTTGTGAAAGTAAAATCTGTTGGGCTCCTTTTGGCATCAAGACAATTATTCTTATTGCCACCTTGCCAGACAGGACACTGTTAAAAAAAAAAAAAAAAAAAAAAAAAAAAAAATTAGGAAGACCACTTGTTTAAATAATCCACCTTGAAATAAAAGATTGTTGTCTATACCTTTAAGCTAACGAGAAAGGACAATTGCCCATTGGTTGGAACCCAGTCCAGGTTTCAGTTTAGTTTCTTCAGCAGAGTTGTGGCAAAAAAATATTTTCTCTTGGTGTAAGAAACTCTAATTTGTTATACTAAATGAAAAACATGCTATGCTTGTTTTTTTTAGAATGAGTTGGAGAACTTCCCCATCAGCTCAATCCAGCACTGCCAGGCTGTGATGAACGCCTGCAGCTATGACTCCATCCTGGCTGTGGTGTGTAAAGACTCCAGTCAGAGCAAACCAGACCTCCACCTGTTCCAGTGTGATGACATCAAGGTAGGCTGCCTTAAAATAAAACAGAAACCTGCTGAAGAGTAAATGCTCCTGATAATCTACTGATCCATTTTGTCCTGACTGAAATCGATGGGTTTTTATTATCAACGCATTTTAATTCAGGAGAGCTTGCGGACTTTAAAATGAAGTCTTCAGTCCCTCATTACTGAACTTTCAGTCAGAACCTAAAGAATTTTGCATTAAAGTTATTTCAAACAATGACTTGAAAAGATGAACTCAAAATAAAAAGAAAATGAAAAAGGGCCGAGGAGATGACCCTGTGGTGCTCCAAATCTGATCAGCTTCCCCATTTTTCGTCGTTTTTAAACCGATATTTTAAAAAAAATGTTCTGTTTCAACAGGCAAATCTGATTCACATGGATATAGAAAGTGCCATGATAGATGCCAAAGGGGGCAAAGTGAAAAAACGACCAGAGACTCTGAAGTGAGAACGTTTCCACCAACACTTACTTATAAGGATTTTAATGGTGGCAGCTAATTGGCTGAACTTTTATCTGCAGAGTGATTCTGAAGAGTGACGGCCTGATCCCACCTCCCCCCCCGACTCCCGCCCCTGAGGCGCCACCTTCATCAAATCAAGAGGAGAATAAGGGGCGAACAGCGGCTTGGTCGGCGTGGGCCAATGAACAGCAGCACTGTGAGTGATGTCATGGGGTTGTTGACTCATTATGTTTTTCCTTAAATCTTTTGGATACGAGGATTGTCACAAATATCAATACTCAGTCACTGTATCCGGATACAATAGTAACTCTGCAGGGTATCAATAGTAAGGACAAGTGCTTTCATCTTTTTGCTCTTTTTGATTTCAGATTTATAAATTATAGAACATTAAAAGAATAAAAATTCAAAAAAATTTGATAACAATTTAATATTTGAATCATTTGTTTTGCATTTATTTTCACACTTATTTAACCAGCATCTGTCATTCTGTGGACAAAACTTGTCCCATGTAGAAAATAAATGGGTACATTTTTCAAAACAATACAAATATTTTGTATGCCTTTAGTCATTTATTACTTCTTGACCCCTGCAGTTTCAAGTTTCAGTTTTTAAAGTAATTGCTGTCCAATTTAAAAATAGAATGTTTACCATTAGTAATGCTACACAGACTCTAAAACATGCTATTAACTAATCATTTAAAATACAAACAATATTATAAATAATTTATAGATGCTAATACATTGAGATCATCTGTTTTTTGAATTAATCAAGAAAAACATTCAATAGATAAATCAAATAATCGATAGCTGCAGCCTTACGCAGTGCAGACTTGGACAACCAGTAGAAATGATAAATGTCCGCCATGTTGTGAGTGGCAAATCCTCAAAAGGGAAGAAATGCAGACCTGCTTAAAGTTGGGTTTTTACAACAAAAGGAGTGCATAAACTTTATGAATTTTAAATGATGATTATGAGTGTTATAGCGATCATGGCTGTGAATCATAATTGGTTAAAAGGAAAGAAAATGTGTTTAAATTAGCTTTAATTTAATTAGATCTGGTTCTTATAATGAGCAGTTATTTAGTTTAGTGGTTTTGTTGTGAGCTGGGTTCAACTCTCTGAGTGAGGTTAGATTACTATAAGGATGAAGATCTGAGTATTTTTGTTTCTCTTCCTCACTGAGGGGAGAAGTTCCTCTGCCTCCTGGTTTCCCCTTTAAATCCAAAAATTTTTTTCCCGCGCAGTCGGTTTCGTTCCAGAGGTGTTTTGCATGTGATGACGGCTGTGACGTTGTGTTGCAGATGAGCAGCAGCATCTGTCGCAGTACGACGGAGCGGGGGAGATGACGGCGCTGCGGGTGGACCGAGACGTGGTGAGGCTCACATCCTTCTGGTCTGAGAGCCGCTGCAGGCGGTTTGGCTTCAACACAAAATACTGCAAAGGACTGATTGTTGGGCCAAGTTTGATTTAAACATAATCAGAGTTTGAAGGAAAATCAGCTTATAGTTGAAAGAATGGTGGGGTGGGGGGTTGGTGGGGGGATGGACTCTGCTCTGTTGGTTCTAGTTTAATCATTAATGCTTCAGCAAACCAATTCATAATACGGCTTGTTGTTCTCTCTGCAGCAAATCCTAAACCACATCCTGGATGACATCGAGTTCTTCGTCACCAAACTGCAAAAGGCGGCAGAGGCCTTTAACGAGCTCTCCAAGAGGAAGAAGGCAACGAAGAACAAGAAGAAAGCTCCAGGAGGTGAGCAGGAGCTTCTAGGCTGGACTTTATCCCAGACAGACAGAAATATTCAAATATTTTTTATATTCAAATATTGCCATTAGATTTTACAAGTACAAAGAAACAAAATAAACTCTCTGCATTTAACCCATCCACTTCAGGAGCAGTAGGCTGCCATTGTGAGGCACCTTGGGAGCAATGTGGGGTTAAGGGTTTTGCTCAGAGAGCCAGATTGGCAGGGTGTGGGAGTGGGGATTGAACTCAGGACCTCTGGCTCCCAAGTAGTGTTGCCCCGATGCGATATTGTTGTCGCCGATACCTGGCCGTGTAGAGCTGGGCGAAATGGCGATATATATCGTGAGGAGGAGAGAAACATGTCTATCGTGACCTTTCTCCTCTATTTTTTCTATCGTGATAAACTTTTTTATTATTATTATTACTGCTAATATACATTTTAATATAATTTGTTAATATAACATTTTGCGTTTTTGCTATGCAAACTCTAAGTGTATATAACGAAAAAAAAAGAGAATAAAAAGATAATGTGTAGAGAACGTGGTTTTGCGACACTACACCGCTTTACGTCACGCGGCTTTGCACCATACGTTTGCGACATTACTGACGGAGAGAGCCCGCGAAATTTCTTTCTGGCTTGAAAAAAAATGAATGATGGGACACCCAAGAAGATGTTACCACAGCAGCGGTTACAGAGTCCGAAACGGTTGCCAGGTCACAGACACAACAAACACCACTTTTGCCCAAAAGGGGAGGCAGCTCGGTTGTTTGGTTATATTTCGGATTTCAGCCATCTGATAAAGAACAAACGCAACCGATATGTAAACTGTGCAGCAAAGCCGTTCCAGCGGCTGATGTAAATACTTCCGGCCTCTTTTACCACCTGAAGAAAAATCATGAACAAGAACACGGGAAACTACAACCACTCCGATCAAAACAAACAAGGGATGAAAATACAGGAAGCACTGGAAAGAAATTCTCACAGCCGAAGCTTAAGGAAGCATTCGCCCAAGGATCACAATATGAGAAGACGTCTCAGCGACACAAGCAGATCACAGGTGCTATTTCACGCTATATCTGTAAAGGCATGGCCCCCGTTTACATAGTCGAGAAAGACAGCTTTCGGGACCTCGTCCGTACACTCGATCCCAGATATGTGATGCCTAGTCGAAAACATTTCAGTAAAGTGGAGCTGCCTGGCTTATATGCTAGTTGTCGGGCTGAAGTGGAGAGAGAGGTACGCAGTGGTGCGACGCATTATGCGTTGACTACGGACATGTGGATGAGTAGAGCAACACAGCCTTATATGAGTCTCACCATCCATTTCATCAAGGACTGGACCCTCCTAGTGGAAAACAAGGTAAGTGAAAGACAAGAGAAAAACCTGGCCTTGGAATTTTATAAAATGTCAATAACAAACAAATATTAAATGATTAATTACTGCAGCGCAATAGCCAAGATTCTATACTGTTCACTGTCATGGCCGCAAATTGCATAACTGGTGTTCTTGGTTGGGGTTGGGATTCTCATATTAGGAAACAAGATGATGGGTAAAAAATAGGCGATGAAAGATTTTTTTCAACCCTGTCCATCTGACGGACTATGAAAACATAAAATGCAACATCAGTTGTGGTATATCGTGATATATATCGTTATCGTGATATAAAATAATCCATATCGTGATATAGTTTTTTTTCCATATCGCCCAGCCCTATGGCCGTGCAGTATAGGCCGATACGATACCATCTGTTTGAAACTGATGTGTCTGTGTATATGTATGAAGAACTGCATACTACTTGAATGTAAAGTAATTGCCATCATGGTGAAAGCAGGGAAAAGACTAACAAAGTGAATCCAATAGAATTATATATCGCCTACCTATAGTGGGTGACAATAGTTGAATAAACCTTTGGCTCTCAGAATGGTATCGCTGCCCTATTTGTTGGTACTCGCTGATACCGATACCACCATTTTAGTGCTGGATCGGGGCCCCGTCCGATACTGGTATCAGTATTGGTGCAACACTAGTCCTAAGCGCAATGCCCTAACCCAGGGGTCAGCAACCTGCGGCTCCGGAGCCGCATGCGGCTCTTTAGCTTCTCCTTTGCTTTCCCTCTTTTTCAAAAACTTATGAAAATTGATTATTTTTTTGTTTGTCTTGATATGGTGTGCAGGAGGTCAAACAAAAATTATGTTTTCCAGTGCTGTAAACATTTGTATAATATATTTAAACAATAATTTGTATCATAGCCATAGAGATAAGTAGTCATAACTTCCAACCAGCATGGCGTGGTGCCAGGCAAAGTGTTCGGAGTGTCTCGGACCATGGATCCCAAAGGGAAAAAAGCAAGATAGCTGATGAGAAAAGACAATTCAAAGAATGGATCAAATCATTTGCTTTCACTATCAATGCGGAAGAATTGCCTGCATTTTTGCTTTGTAATAAGAGGTTGTCAAAAAATAAAAATAAAAACTTGGAAAGGCATTTCCAGGGAAGGCAAGCTAAATATGTTACCGACCACCAAGCTGGGAGGGAGAGGAAAAGCGCGATTGCAGAACTTCTGGATAAATTAGAGGAGCGCAAAGATAGATTTAAGAAGTGGATTACACTTTTTAATTATATCTGTTACTCTAAACAGAATTTAAAGGCACACTATGCAACATTTTTCAGTTAATTAATGTGTTCCATAACGTTATGGATGATTAAATGAGTCATTTCAGGTTGAACAAAGGTATTCTCGGCCGCCCTGGTGGTCTGTGGGGGAAATACTGCACTTGCAATTGCAGGAGCACCGACCCGCACCCACAGGCTCAGAAGTCTCGTGAGAGTCAGTCTTGCTTTACGGCGAGAACTGCTACACGCCCCCAGTTAAAAGCATTCTCGTTGCTAGCACAGTGGCGATCTTTGTGCAGTTATGCTACGTTCACGCAGCAAAAGCAGCAAAATCGCCTCTGCTGCTTCATTTTTGCTGCTTGTACCAGTTAGTTCTGACGCGCGGCTGAAGCAGCTTTGCTGCTCTGGCTGCGCGGTGCAAAAGTGTGTCTGACGCGCGTTGGGCGGAGCTTCACTATCCTTTCTCTGCCTTGCAGATATATTTGCTGTGATCAGTGGGAATAAAGTAGTTTTAATATGTGTTTAAATGAGAAAATACACCTGAAAATGTAATCAGTGCCGTCAGTTCATCCAGATTACAATCCTGCCTCCCAATGTTATTTCTGTCGGAGCCGCTCAGACCCCCACATACCAGCGGTGCGCTGACAGAAGGGATCCCTTCATCAGCAGCCTCTGGCCAGGTTGCCTCCTCGCGGTTCACCACGGCAGCTGGTAGGTGTTTTTCATCTAAATAATCCAAACTGCATATTCTGCCGGCAGATTTCTGCATTTTAAGTTAATTTAGGCGTCAATAAACTGTTTAAGAGGAGAGATCATAGCCTCTGATCATCAGCGCCGTGTCTCTCTCCCTGCGTCAGATGCTTAGCCCGACGCCCAACGCGCTGCTTCAGCTGCTCAGACGTGCTGCGCCTGCTGCTCAAAACGCGCCGCGGGACCTTTTGCTGCGCCTTGACGCGCGTCAACCATTGACTTTGCATGTAAACTCGCTGCTTCTGTCGCGCCAGCTACGTCCAATGTGAACGCAGCGTTAGTCATTCGCTGCTAAGCTCAAAACAACCGCGCCTGGCTTGACGGAGAAACCAGGAGAACAGCTGAGCATATTTACGACAGTGCACTTTTACTTTCGCCCTCTGGGGGGAGCCTCGCTGGAAAATCAACACCGGTTGCATAGTGTACCTTTAACACTGAAATAAAATGAGGTGTTTATGTATCCATGTTATACATTGACTTTTTAAATTAAAAAATATATTAATATATATTTAAAAAAATAGAAAATTTTTTCATTTTAATATTGAAAGTGTTCAAGTAGAAAACTACAATCTTTCAGTTTGGTATATAAACATTTTCAAGATTCTAATATTTTATAAAACACCTAAACTGACCGTTTGAGCCATAAAAAATCAAAGGGAAAAAAAAAACAATGAGAGCTTTAGGCTGGGCTTTATGCTGCCCTGCAAGGCTTTAAACCTGGTTTGAATGGAGTCAAAGCCATTCTAGAGGAAATATCAGGGTGCTCATTTTGATATTTTTCCTTCATGTAATTATGCCAGGGACCTGGGACCCACTGCTTGATTTAATGATGTGACCGATACATGTGCATTGTCTTATTTAACTGGCTGCTCCATTCATGTTGCCCCCTGTTTCCTATTTAATTATTAAATGTAGGAAAAAATCACACTTAAATCTAATAAATGTTATTTTTCAAATTTTATAATCCAACATTTTTAATTGACGCCGTGAGCGCATCAGAGCGAACTAGAGTGGAGTGAAATCCTCGCTCTGGCCTTTGAATTGAAAACTGCTCTGCGCTCCACCATTTTTCTTCTGCTCCACGCTCCGTTCACATGCTCTGATCTGGATCCAGATTTATTTTTGATTCTGTTCATGGTGAAGAATCCTGCTTCACAGCAGCAGGTTGAGCCAAACATCCTCTAAATGTTCAGGGTCATCTTTGAGCACCATTTCTCTTTTTTTTCACCAGCTCACCACAGTTCTTCCAGCAGTCCACACTTTCTCTGCTCTCTTTTTTGCCCGGTTTGGCTGCTGTGTCTGAAAGTAGCAGCAGCAGCAACCCAGACTGACAGCAGCTCATTGGATCATTTGTAATTTTAAATCAGGTTAGGTCCGTATCTGGACCGCGGCCCACTAATCCGCGACCTCTGCACTAGGCCACCACTCCCCCTGCAAATACTGATTTAAATTTGAATTAATTTCCTTAATGTTTTTTCTAACCCTCTTTTGTTTTAGGTGTAATTTATTTTTCTTTTTTTTAGTAAATTTAAAAAAATTATGAGAAAATGTGTTAAGACATTATATTTAAATTGATTTATTTCTTTAATAATAATGTTTGAAGTTTTTTTTTTACATATTAAAATATTTTTGATTTATGTGTAGAAAAAAGTAAAAAAAAAGCAAAAATGTGAATAATAATAAAACTAACATTGAATGATTTTAGGGTTAAAACTGTAAAATGAAAGATTTGAAAATAAACCTTTTCTAATGTGAAAAATAAGTTTTCCCCCTCAGTAATTCAATTTCAGCAGTGGCAACGTTTCTCCTCCATCTACTTAGTTAGAACCCTTCATATATGAACCCAAAAATCTTTAGTCTTAAACAGAACTCCGATTCAGACATTATAAAGTTCTAACCTTCTCCACGGACCCAAATGTGACGAATCAGAACCTGACACGTCTGCTTGTTTTTGTCCACCAGAGGGTGTCCTGTCTCTGAGAGCCAGAGCTCCCAGTGAGGAAGAGTTCGTGGACTGTCTGCAGAAGTTCAAACATGCCTTCAACCAGCTGGTAACCGGTTCCTGTTTTAACTGGTTATTTGTTCATTGGCTTGGTTCTGATCCACTCTGTTCTTAAAGCCGGGCATACACTGTACGATTTTTTTCAGTCGTTGCACACAGTCGTTGCACACTGTGAGTTCACAGCTCACGATGCATGTGCGACCCAAGGCTCTGATCCGATCTACCTTCTCACACTGCACATCTAAAAACTACATCGGACTCAGCCTCAGAGAGAGATGGCACTACTGGGACTTATATGAAGCTCACTACAGAGAAATGCGCTGCCTTAGCAATTTTGTGCTGAAAGCCCTAAAAAGAAAAGGCGACGACGTATTTGGACAAAGACATGGCTGAGCAAACGTAGCTACTACGGTCTGCCAATTTTACTCTTGCTCTGTGTTTTCATCTGAGAGGAAGAAGAAGAGGAATTCTTGTTTCGCACTGAGCAATTTGCCCACGATTCCTGATAGGGAGGTGGTCGTGAGGGGTTGATTGCCCCTCGTTACCCCTTGTACACGACACGCACGATCAGGCTGAAACTTGGGCCAATCTGAAAATTCTGGCACGACTGGAAAGTCTCCTTGAAAAGGGCAAAAAATTGCACAGTGTACGCCCGGCTTTAGAGGAATTATTGTAACCAGTTCTCAGACTGATTATTGGGTCAGCAGAACTCTGGAAAAAAACTGAAAACAAAAGAAGAATTTGTAACAATCAGAAAAAAACATCAATAAAATGAGGTACGGTTTTTAAATCTGGACAGAACAGAACCTGCAGAATATCTCATAGTTCATTCTGACCTGCAGGCGAAGCTGAAGGACCACATTCAGAACCCAAGCTCAGTGGACCTAGTTCACTTCCTCTTCACGCCGCTGAGGATGGTGAGTCAAGGAAGTGACATCATGAATGAACTTGTCTGTGCTGAAATGTTTTGTTTCAACAGGTTCAGAGTTCTAATGAGAACAATGAACTCCTGCTCCTTCTTGTCCTCAGGTGGTCCAGGCGTCTGGCGGAACCGATCTGGCTCGAAGCGTGGTGGTTCCTCTCCTCACCAGAGACGCCATTGAGTTCCTCCACTCCTCGGGAACAGCGGAGGAACGCCACCTGTGGGTGACTCTGGGAGACGGCTGGACAAAATGCAGGTGAGAACAGGGAGGTTCCACTAAAGAACATCCTGTTGTGTTTACGTTCCTTATGGGCATTATGGCCATAAAGTTCTGGTTCTTCGTTTATCTGTTCTTGGTAGGTTATTTCCATGGGTTCTTGAAGTTCTCATTGAAATATTTGCTTTATGTTCTCTCTAATGTATGTTTGTTTTTGCTTAAATACCTTTTTGTTCTTCTCTGATAGGTGTTCTCATGTTTTACATGTTTTTGCTTCTTAATCCTGGTCTTCTTCCTTAGTAGTTCTTCTAATTTTCTTGGCTTTAAAGGTTCTGTTCTGTGTGTTTTCCAGGCTGGAGTGGCCTAAGGATCACTACTTCCCGCCCTGCGCCCTGCGGTTCCGAGACGGCTGGGAGCCTCCCGTGGTTCCGGCCGTGATGCCGAGTCGGGAGCATGAACTGATGCAGCTGGCGGAGAGCCTCGTCAACGCCGACATCCACCGCTCGGCCGACCTGCGGCTGTCTCAGGAGGTCTGTGAGATGCGCTCAGAACCCATGGGAGGTTCTGATGACAAGCGCCGCTAACATGTGTGTTCTGTTTGTCAGCAGCAGGGGGCGCTGCAGCGGTTTCCTCCAGCTGATGGGTACGCCCTCAATAACTCCTCCCACAAACGCATCCAGGTCCTGGACCAGGACACGGCCATGGCTGCTTTCAAACACGCCGTCAGCCGCCGTGTCGACCGGTAACAGCAGGTCACATGACGCCCTGGAGAACTGAGACCCCCCCCTGCTCCATTAACCCTTCTGTTAATTAACATATCAAGGGAAAATCAGCTGTTAAAGTTCAGAAAAGGAAAAATAGTGTTGATAAAAACAAGTAAATGTGTCTCATCATTATTGCTTTATGTTTTTGAAAAAAAAAATAGGTGAAAACTACTTTTAGTTAAACTGCTCTAAGTTTAATATAAACAGAAGTAAACAAAAAAGTCATTATTATTTATTCATAATTTCAGGATGAGTTTATTTGACACCATTTCTTACTTTTTCATTACTTAGTTGGTAAAAAAATCCCATTGTAGAAAATAAAAACCTTCGGACACTTTTTTTATTTATGTTTATTTATCATAAATCACATTTTAATAATTTAAAACTAGACTATTGATCAACTATAAAGAGCTTTTCCTGATGTATTTATCTAAACTGATGAAGGTGATGGTCCTCCTCTTCCTGATTGAATCTGTTCTTCATTTTCCTTTTTTCAAACCTGTTCTAATCTTTCTTCTTTAAATTTCCTGAATCTTATCTGTTCAGAACTGAACCCGAAACCTGATTGATCTTTTCTGGATCTTATCAAACGGGGGGAAGCATTTCTCCAGGGCTGGGAACTCATTTTGACCAATTTTTATTTAGACTCACAAAGTCACTTTTAATTTTTATTATTTTTTGTTTTAATCAATGGAGCAAAAAAAAAAAAAAAAGGTTCAGATTGTATTTTTTACATCTTGGCTGTGATCTGAGCTGAAGATTTTGTATGGTGTTCATATCATATTTCACTCAAATCCACATCCTGCTTTCTTCTTACAGGAGTTTTGATCCTGAAAACAGATTTGAACAGAGAGTTTTTGCCAAAGCGAAGTACGACTTTGTGGGGAGAAACAACACAGAGCTGTCGGTCCTCAAAGACGAGCTTGTGGAGGTAAACTGCAAATTAGTTATGCGCCAATGCCATTTTTTGGCCCGATACCTGGCTGTGCAGTATTGGCCGATACCATCTGTATGAAATTGTTGTGTATGTATATATGAAGAACTGCATACTACTTGGATGTAAAATAATTGCCATCATGGCTTTGTTAAGCTGCTGCCTGCCTTTGTGAAGCAGGAAAAAGACTAAAACAAAGTGAATCCAGTAGAACTTTATATTGCCTACCTGGAATGGGTGACAATAGTTGAATAAACTTTTGGCTCTCAAAATGGTATAAGTGCCCTATTTGTTGGTACTCGCCGATACTGATACCACCATTTTAATGCTGGTGTTGGTTTCGTTACAACACTACTGCAAACGCAACTCAAAGTCGTCTTTAGTCACCGTCTGCAGCTGGGTCAGAATGAGGAAGTTCATTAGAACACAGAACCAGAACCTTAGTAGTTCAGAGTGAAGCGTCAATGATAAAAGTCTCCAGGTCCTGTTCTGATGAGGCTTAGCTCTCTGAAGCCCTGGGTTTTGTCTGTCAGGTTCTGGATGACAGGAAGCAGTGGTGGAAGGTTCGGAACGGCTGCGGAGAATCCGGCTACGTGCCAAACAACATCCTGGAGATCACCAGAGCCATGGACGTGAACAGCCGTGGAGATCCTGTCTACAGCCATACCATCCAGGTACGCTCCTCATCTTCATCAGCACCTTACCCTTCATCCCCCCCTCGACCTTCTCTTACCTTCATCCGTGTGTCATTTCTCATCGCTGAAGCTCATGATGCCAAAGAAGGAGTTTGAGTTATTTAAGGTAGGATGAGTCGGGCTGTGTGGTTCCTCCAGGTTCTGCCCTGTAGTTCTCCCTGCTGCTGTTGGTTTGCTGTGGATCTTAAAGGAACAGTCTCACATTTTGGGAGCTTTGACGAACTGTTTGGGTCGGTTCTTGTCTCTTTTCCAGTTTCGGTAGAATTACGGTTTAAATTTAAGTTTTTTTTTCTTCAATTTGAGTTTTTTTTATTTCTTTGTTGTGGTTCGGCTTGAAATCTGGTGATGGTTCTGACTGAAATATTCAGAACCTATCTGGCTTTACCTCCAGTTTCTATCCAAACATAGTTATTTCTGTCTCCTTACTGCCAGTTTGAGCACAAACCTTTTACTTTCAATTTAGAGGGCAGACAAACATGCCCACACTCATTCACTCCCTTAAGGGCTGGTTATCCTCCCGCTGCAGTTTGTCGCAGATATTTTTGATTTTTGCCCAATTTTTATGCGTGGTCTGCGCTATGTTATTCCCCGCCACAATGCAAGAGGGACAATCAGGAACTAGCTGTGGGTCTAGATTCGGCTGAGGCGGTGAGCAAGTGGGGGCAAGTTTGTGCGACAACAGAGGGACATAAGGGCCAAAAAGACCAGGTGGAAAAAGGGTCCCAGCGTTCTCACACACCTCGCTCTTCTAGTTGGTCCATCCTCACGAGTCGTTTTCCACAGTGGTGGTCATACAAATAAAACAAGCCAATAAGGGTTAATTTTTTTTTTTAATTTCACTTAATTTCAACAATAACATATAAAATATACAGATAAACAAACAAATATGCCAGGGTGTATATAATATAATCACAATTAACAAGTACAGTCAGGAGGAAAGTCAGACAAATACATGTGTTTAGGAGTGTCATATATACGTATGTACATAAAAACATATATATATATATATATATATATATATATATTGTACAAACACACATCTTCTACTTCGGATCTTCTACATAGATAAATTGTCCAGAATTTTTAGTTGGGAAGAGATTAAAATGTTTTTTTGTGCCTTTCGGTGAGAGGAGGGTTTAATAGTACTAAAATATTATTTAAGTTCAATTAAACAAACATTAAAGTCTGGCTTTTTTTTCTTTTCTTTTTTTCTTTTTTTTTTTAGAAATGCAAATTTATGCAAATGAAATTTAGCCAAGATAATTTAGAGCTTCAAAGTTGAAAAAAAAAAAAAAAATTTTAAATTCACATGGTTACAAAAGTGTTGCCAGAAAGTCTCAGAGTATGGACACAACCAAAACAAATGTGTAACAGATTCTGGAAGAATGAGCCGGTAAGGTACCAAACAGGAAATACGCATATGGTAGAGTGGATTTGACCAATACACTCTCCTACACCTGCACCAGAGTGTCTGCGGAAGGGGCGGGGCATATTTGCGTTCACTGCGACACTTACGCATATGACCTGGTTTCTGAGCATAAATCAGCCTTTAGATTTAACCTCTAAAGGCTAATTTTGACCTGGTGAAAGGTTCTGGTATTTTGACTCATAGGAACCAGTGGAACATCCCTTCAATGAAGATTGACGTTTCATTTTTTCAGTTCTTCTCTTTGACTCTCAGCTCCACTAATTTCATTAGATTCTCTGTTCTTGAGTGGAGCTGAGAGAACGGTTCCCCTAAATGTCGGACTGTTCCTATCATCAGTGTAGGAGAGCAGTAGACTCCCTGATGGTCAGATTTAGTAAGTTTGTGGTGAATAAAACATGTTGATTAGTGACTCATCTCCATCTTTGTTTCGTTTCACACCAGCAGCAGTTACTGGGAGAGTTAAATGAGGTAAACACCAACGGACTCTTCAAGCACATGCTTTAATTGTCTTATCTGATTTAACCCTTTTAAAATATTCTCACTGGAAAACGTTTCTATATCTGCTAATTGCTGACAGTACTTTATTTATTTGAACCTTTTTAAAGAAAGTTACTCTGCTCATTTCAAATCTTAATTTAAAGGAAAGAAGATTCAGTTTTTTTATGCTGAATATCTGAGGTGGATGAAATGGGAAAGGTTCCCATTTCCTCCATATACTTCCAATAACTACAAATGTATCATTCCCAGTGATCCGCCAGCTTTTCCTAGACTTTAACCTTTCTGTATTTTCAGTTTGGTTTCCAAATTAGCTCTAAGAAATCTAGAATTCATCATATTTATTTTGTTTTTCAAGCTTCGATGCAAAAGGGCTCCTCGTAATCATAACAAAGAAACAAAACAACAAAAATGAAACAGAGCGGGCCACGAATTGGACCCTGTGGGACTCCGTATCTAAATACATGCGATTGAGACAATCATATGTCACCTTATTAAGTCTCTCTTAATTCGATGACTTTGGGTTAAATGTTATAAATAGACAGTTTGCTCTGAATCAGATGGATCAGGGTCAAATGTTTCTGGATCTGATGGCTCAGCCTTAAACGGTTCCTAAAAGGATCGTTTTGAAGCCAGTGGTTTTAGATTTAAAAATTCTTGATCAGAATGTTTTGGATCCAATTAGTAAGAAAATGTCTGTGTGTTACTGAGGTGGATTAGATTTTACTGGTGAAGCCGATGTTTGGAGTCAACTTTGTTCCATTATTGTTGCAAAGAATATATTTTGTAAATGGAATTTTAAGAAAAAAAGGAAAAAGCAAATGAAATTTTAATCGAAAATTTTCATCAAGTAACTTTGCTGTTTTCTCAGATTTTCCTTTCTTAGATTTTTTAATTTTTGTTTTCATATTGTATTTTGGTCAAACCTCTTTTTTAAAACGTTTTTTTTCAGAACTTAATTTCTTTTGTAATTTTGGATAGTTTTATGGACTGCATTTTTTCAAACTGCGTTTCACATATCAAGTTCTCTTTGCTACTTTACTCCCCTCTCCAGAGGGAAGCCACACTAAATCTGAAAAACAGAAATAAGAAGAAAATATCAGATCTGTAATAAATGTGGAAAAAAAAATAAATGCAATATGTAAAAAAATTAGTTATTATAAAACTGAACTATAAAAAATTTATTTGAAATAAAAAATATTTGAATCTGAGAAAATAAAGTTACTATTTAACCTTTTTTTTTTTCAAAGTTTCCTTTCTGAAACACACTTTTCTTTTTTCAAATTTCTATTTACAAAACGTGGTTTTGTGTGCAACCATTTTGGAACATAATTTACTTCTTATGATTGAGAAATAAGTACATTTGTTGGTGAGAGAAAATCGGACTTTAATTTAAAATGATTCCAGATTGTATAGTGAGCAGTAAACTGCGATGCCATAAACCAAACCTTTTTATTGGTGATGATTATGAAGAAAATCTGTATGTAAACTGTTGTTCAGGATCAACCAGACAGTAAAACTGTTTCCGTTCTCCTCCAGAAGCAGACCACAAAGTCGGACCATCCCCCAGGTAGACCAGCAGCTGCTCAGATGTCTGAGGTTCCGTCACCGCCACCCCCCGCCCCCAACAGGCTCCCCACACCGCCTCTGCCTCCTCCGATGGCAGAACCCCCTAAAGCAGGCGGCGGCAGCACCACGGTCAGCCGACATAACAGCAACACGTCCAGCGACGCCGGGAACGGCGCCGCAAAGGAAGCAGCCAGCCAGAGAGCTGCAGCGGCTGCAGGACGTGAGTTTCTTTTTTTCTCTAATGGAAACATCTGCATGTGAAACAGCTGGATCTCTTGCTCCTCTTACGGTCGTCCTATTTCAGGAAAACTATATAGAAATTTAATGGGATCTGAATCTCAGGAAATTCTAACTGAACGTCGGTTCTTGAAATGTGTTTATTAAAGTCGTAGGGATGAATAATTCTGGCTTAAACATGTATGTATTGTCCCAAAATTTAGAAACTGTATATTTTAAAAGAAAATTCTGTCTTAAAATCTGTGTTTTTTTCTCCCCGTTATCTTCTGCAGGCCAGTTATTTATACGTCAGCCTGAACACCTAAATTTGGCCAATCATATATCAACAGTCATCTGTCAATCAAATTTTTCATTCATAGTATCTTGATTCATATATCGCAGCTAATATACACAATGGTTGAAAGAAGAAATAAGAATCCTTGCCTTTCCCATTGAGTTCCGTCCCAGTGTTCACGGGGATGGACGTCTGTGTCTTCAGCAGGCGTAGAGCTAACAGAACTGGCAGCATTGCGAGGCAAGGGCTCAAACATGTACGGCTGGAAGCCTTCTACACCAAACCAAGCTTCTGCCGCCCTGGCGTCCTCTTCCACAACATGTTCATCCCCGCTTTCCTCCTCTAAATAAAAAATTTATGACAGAGGAGACTTATCCACGACCGCCGACACAAACCTTCTCTTGGATGTTTCCTCTGTCCATAGCGTTCCTTGACAGTGTCGTTTCTAAGTCCCCAATTTAGTGCTACTTGGTCCCAATGGAATTTCCCATTGGGAACCTACTAGCACTAAGTTGCTAACTGGTTAGCAAGATGCTTCCGACAAATCGGCCACAACCAAACTTGGTTGTGAACATCTCGCCACAACAATCCCACCCTCTTGATAATCGACCAATCACATTCACTTTTTTCCCTCGTGTAAAGTCGGGCACCACTCGGGAGAATTCGGAAATGAAACGGTTGGAACAGCCGCTTCCCTACGACCTTAAAAGAAAAATTTTGATCCCAGGTGTGCTTCAGAAAAGTTCCTCCCTCTGCGGTGATGTTTCATGTTTCGGTGTTGTTCTGCAGGCAGGAAGTCCAACATGGAGGAGGTGCAGGATGAGCTGATCCACAGGCTAACTTTGGGTCGCAGCACTCAGAAGAAGTTCCAGGTTCCTTCTCGGAGCAACAGCGGCAGCCTTCCTGCTCCAAGCATCACTTACGATTCCTCCCCAGATGAAGTGAAAGCCTGGTTGGAGGCCAAAGGCTTCAGTCCGGTGTGAGTCCTCCAGATCTTCTCCCCATGGATCTCTTGGTCCAGATGATGTTCTCACTGGTTCAGTTTGTGTTTTCAGAACCATCAGCAGCCTTGGCGTTCTGACTGGAGCGCAGCTGTTCTCGCTGAACAAGGAGGAGCTGAAAACAGTTTGTCCTGATGATGGAGCTCGAGTCTTCAGTCAAGTCACGGTGCAGAAGGCTGCGCTAGAGGTGGGTGGGAAACCAGTGAAGCTGCAAACTGGGAGGGGTCTACATTTAAACCAAAACTGGGAGTAATGGTTAAAAGAAACACAAGAAAAGGACCAAAAAAATACAATTCTGAATTCCAAACTTCATAACAAATAAGTTTTGAGTAATTAAGAAATACATTTAAAAAGTTTCAATATTACAGCCACAATATTGAGTTTTCTCAAATCGTTTCTCACATAGAGGCCTGAAACATTATTAGAGTTAAAGAAGTTATTTTGTGGAAAAATACATATATTTTTAACTTAAATAATATGAAAATCTATTTGGATAAAAATAAATAAAGTAAAAACAAAAAGAACATTTAAATAAATATTGGTTAATAAGTTGAATGTTTTTTTTGAATGGATAACATTTCTGTAAGATAATATCAGATAGTTACAGAAGTTTCAATTAAAGGATTGATTTTGAGTTTTTTTTTAAGCCAAACAATTTTACATGAAGATATATATTGTAAATAATTGGCAGTATTAAAAGTAAATCAGGAGAATAGAATAATGCATAATCACAATATTAAATTATTAAATTTGAATAAAAATCTGACACTCCAGGCAGAGTTTGAAGGTATTTTCTCTTTTGTTATTTGATTGATGATGATACATTGAGGAAATCATTATTTTCTTTTGATCTGTGAAAATATTGAAAGAAAGCCAAACAGTAGAATGATTATTGGTTTTCTGTTTATCTTCAGAGGAGCTGCTGTTGATGATTTATTTACCAGATTATTTTGTTGTTTTTTTTATGTTTGCCAAGGCGGGGCTTCTAGCCAGCTGATTGGTCCATTAAAGGAGAGCCGAGACGAGCTCATTGGGACAGAAACTGTTTCTATGTTCCATATAATCCAGTTAAACACAGCATTCAGGACGTGAAACAATCTAAGAATGTCTGAAACATCCAAAACATTTTGGATCACTTAAAAGTTTAAGGTTGTATCTAAAGGCTCTGTTGGAAAAGTTGAAACCATCAATGGACAGCAGAGGGCGCTGCTTTCAGGGATGGTTCTCTTAGTAACACTGAGCTCGTCTCCATTTGCCTCCACGGACTCTTACCTCCAAGCTCTCTGTCCTCCATCTCTGGAAAGGTCTGGTGTTTGGTGTCTGTTTCCCACCTGCAGGTTTTCTTCTGAGCCTCCTCTGATCTTCTGACTGTCTCTCAGCATTCATTAAGGTATCGTTTCACCTCAGCACATGCTCGGCTTGGTTCTGTTGGCCAGAACCTCATTAAAGTCACACGGATCACACTTGAGAGAGATAGAACAATATTAAATTGATTTTAAGTCATGTTCATAGCTCTAAAGAGTGAACCCGACCAGGACTATAAACCAAACGGTTCATTACATGCAATGAATCGGGTCTTTGGACACGAAGGAACTGAAACCTCAAACTGGATCCCTCTTGTCTTTGACCATCAGTTTTCCTATGGTTGACTTCGTCCATCTTCTTGGTTTTTAGTGTTTAATTGCTTGTCTTATATTCCATCATCAACATGAGGATTAGAAACACAATTACCTTGGTAACCTGCAGGGTTTTTTTTTTGAGTTAGCTGATTTTGATTAACAAAACTGTCCTGGACCAACAGGATCCTTCTCTTTAAAAACTTAAGGAGCGTTCTCACCGAATGCAAACTTGGCATCAAAAACAAAGAAATTTGGTTGGATGTTTCAACGCTTTGGATGCTTGGTGCTCTAGTTGTTTGTCTGCTCTGTTCTGTAGCTTCAAGCTAGAGAGCAGCTTGGACTTATGTACTGTGATGAGTTGGAAAAATAGTTTTCACAAATTTATAAGAAAGAAAGTCCACCTCCAAAAATAATCCATGCAGTCAATTCATCAGGATTATAATCCTACTAAAATATGCAGTTCTTTTTCCAGAGCTCCAGACCCCCAGCATACTGCTGGGAAGTCAGTGCTGGAAATCCCCACCGAAAGCTCTCTATTTCCCGCTGCCGTTGGTATTGGCTGGAACTGAATATAAAGAGTTTTTAACTTTTGTGGTAAAAACTGCGAGGACTAGAATATAAAATCGAATATTTTTCGGCAGCAATTTGTAAAATTTTTTGTTCAATTTGGGTATTTATAAACCGTTTCGTCATAGTTCATAACATTTTTTTAGTGCAACAATAATGATCAGTGCTGATATAATCCGTTCTCCCGGCTAAAAAAAAAAAAAAAAAACAACTTTGGAGTTTAATACCTTGATGTTTATTTATCTTTCATATGCAGACAGCTTTACAGAAATGATCACAGCTTGAATTTAGCTTCTATCCCCTGAAAAAAACTCCTGGATCAACTTTTCTGATTGGCTAACACTCCGGTGCTGAACGATCCAGTGTTCGGACGCCAGAACGCTCAGATGCTTGTTTCCGATGCTCGCTCCCGATGCTCGGACATGCTACTGGACTACTTGACACTCTGTCCCCCATAGACTTTTAGATGTTTTGATGCCCAAAACGCATTCAGTGTGAATGCACCATTTGTTTAACTTGGAGTTAACAATTTTATTCTGGACATTTTCATGAAGGCCTGTTGGAAGCCAAGCCTGGGCCAAACATTCTCATGGACCCAAAAAGCCTTGATTGATGGGCTTTGTAGCAACTAACCTTCTTTATGAGTATACATTTTGAACCAGGGACCCTTATTGTCTGTGAGCCTTATGATGCCGTTTCCACTGTATCCAAGTTGATTCCTTGATCTTTACTTGGACACCAACAGGTCCTCTATGTCCAGAACTTACCTGTTAGACAGTTCTAGGTGGTAAATCTCTGTTGTGGGTAATTGTAGTAATGCAGAACAGAAACTCATATATTATGCTTTAGATTTGAGTCTTCTAGTTTCTATTTTAAATTTAAGTTTTGAACTCTTTTAAATGGATCAGGTTGTTGACCCAAAACCTTATCAAGTCCCATGTCCTCAGGTTGGTCCGTGCAGACTTTATAATCATCGAGATGTGGACTTGCTCTACTCTATTACTCACTTTTATTTATTCTTATTTAAATGGATCTGGCCATCAGAACAAGTCTTGAAGATTTTCATGTGTAGCAGCATATACAGGTAGCGGCAGTTTGTCTTCCTGCTGTGGCTGCAGATAATGTTCTCCTTAGACTCTGAACCTGCGCTGCTCCTAATGGTTATCTCCACCTCCATTCCTGCACCTCCTCCTACCTGTGTAGAGCAGCATGTAGATTTGTTTTGAAACCTCAGTTTGTGTCTGTTGAGCTTTTCAGCAGAATGTCTGTTGGTATTCTGACTCTGATTTACGGTAAGTATGAATTACTGGCTTAAAGATCTGTTCTGGATCACCTGGAGAATGTTGATTACCATTTCACCTGCAGCTGACTGCACAAAGATCAGATCTGCCTTTGATGACCTGGTCTCCTAAGTTGGTTTTTAGATGGTCTGAGGATAAATTACTCTAGAAAAAAAAAACATATTCTCAATCTAGCTGCTTGCAAAAATGTTTTGAAGGCAGACCGTTCAATACTTGAAATTTTGCGCATTTATTGGGGTTTTAATTGAGAAACCAATAGAAAGTAGAGCGTAATAGTGAAAAGCTGGTTCTTTCTCCACGATCCCCTTGTTTGGATCAAAATATCTAGCCTGGAGAAGCAGATGCAGAAGATGTCTGTGCACTCAGATGCTCCCCAGTGTGTTTCCTGTCTCCTGCAGCTTACCCACCCTTTAGATATTCTCACCAACACGCTTTTTGCGGCTTGCGGCAGCATCTGCAGGTTTCCTGAGGTCGGTTGATGTTTCTGGCTCAGTTTACATGGAGTTAGTCTTCAGTAGAACACCATATAACCACAGCCAAGTGCTGACAGAAGATGTTCCTCGGAAAACTTCTGGCTGCCAGAGGATGCAGATGCTCAGTAGGATTTTTGGCTAAGAACTGCTCAGTTGCTTTAAGGCAGTTATTTCAAAGGGGTCTGGGGGAGACTCTCAAGGGGGACCGGGACTGATTAGAACAGGAGGCCTGGCTTGCTAATTAATTTTTAGATGTCTGACTAACGGGAGAAAATATCATTTAATAGCCAATAAAAACCCTGAAACCAACCAGGAATAACTTATATAAGGAACTTGCCAGTATACCCGTGTCACACTAAGACCTTGATTCAGTTTTACAAGCCAAATCTGTACTTAATTGCTGCCAGACCCACCCGAAAAATCAAAGATCGCTTAAAAAGAGTCTGTTTGCTTACTTGAAGCCCAGAGATTTTTTTAAAATATACATCATACACACAGAAATTCAAGAACAGATAAGAACAAAGTAACTGATATCTATTAGTCTGTAAAGAGTTACAGCGCCATTTCTAAGAAATCTGGGTTCCGGCGAAGCAGGCTATGGACCATTATTAAGAAACATTAAGAAAACGAAGAACTGTGGAGAACCTTCCATGGAGAGGAATTTACTCTCTGTTATAGGTTAAACCATGAGTTCTTTAGATTAAGACCACTTAATTAAGTCGGTGAGGCAGATTCAATTCATTTAAAAGCCTCTGAATAATAAAATGTGGTTACTTTGTATTAAACACGGCTGAAAAATCAGCAAATAAAGATCTATGAGCTAGACATTGTTACCTGACCTTTAACAGTTTGTTTATTCTTGAAAAGAGCTCCGAATTCTTTCATAGTGATGCTAAATGTACATTGCCAGTTATCAGATATACTTTATAGCAGCTGTTCTGGCCTAGGCAGAAAAGCAGTTGTTTTGTTAAATCCCCCATGGACATAAATAATGAATACATTAATTGCAGTCATGTGCTTCACCTGACTGCTACAGTTGTTTTCACCAATTCTTTCATATATTGCTTCACTGACAAACAGGCTGTTTGTGTTTGATACAGTTGGGGGCTTGTCCAGGATCTCACCATTTTCTACCAATAACAGGAAAACAGATTAACATCCTGAAAATAGATTCCCCCAAACTAATGTTGGTTTTGTTGGAATCAGTCTTCTGATGTTTTCTTGTCTTATGAAGGTTGCTTTTATTTTTATTTTTTTTATTTCGAATGGAATATTTCAGGTGACGTCCTTCCCGTTTCTGAATCACAGGGCATTGAGTTATAAAAGATTCATTAGCCCCATTTACACTACCCTCTGAAAACCGATCTGTGCCAAGTTCAGACTTAGCTTGGATCAGTTAACCATAACGAGCTTGGTAACTTACAAGCTGTGGCGTTGGATGTAGGAGTTTGCCCTGAAATCGAAGGGTTGATGGTTCAAGCCCCGACTCTGACTTTCATTGTCGTTGTGTCCTTGGGCAAGGCACTTCACCTGCATTGTCTACTGATGGTGGTCAGAGGGCCCGGTGGCGCCAGTGTACGGCAGCCCCGCTTCTGTCAGTGAGCCCCAGGGCAGCTGTGGCTACAATGTAGCTTGCCACCATCAGTGTGTGAATGGGTGAATGAAAGTAGTGTAAAGCACTTTGGTCAAGTCTCCTAGCTTGAATAAAGGCGCTATATAAGTACATGCCATTTACCATTTACACATCATACTAGAATGGTTCCTCATTTACATATGCAGGAAAACGACGTCAGACGTTGAGGTTCATCACCTGCTAAGGAGATGCATCACTAGATGCATTGTGTGGCATGGCAGGGAAGCTAGTATTTTTATGAATGTCTGAAATATCGTGATTATGGAGGTTGACTGTAAGGAGATCCCCCCCCCCCCCCCCCAAAAAAAAAAAAAGAAAAGAAAAAGCGTATCGTTATTACACTGACAGCGTATCTTTGTTATGAACGAAATGAACTCTCTGCATTTAACCCATCCCCTTGGGGAGCTGAGTGCTGCCATTGTGCAACGCCTGGGGAGCAGTGTGGGGTTAGGGGTCTTTGCTCAGGGACCCAGAGTCGCAGTCTGTGGGAGTGGAGCTTGAACTCAGGACCTCTGGGTTCCAAGCGAAATGCCCTAATCACTAGACCGCCACTCCTTAAGGATGACGCGGTCTGCTCATGCTCTTTTTGTTATCTGATAACTGAGCCAGAACGGTGCTGAGTCTGGCGCAGTCTGGTTGAGTTTTGCATGCCGTTTACACTCAACAGTTAATATCAGTTACCGTGCTGAAACTGATCTCTGCATGGTTTCAAAAGGATAGTGTAAATGGGGGTATTGACTGTTTACCATCAAGAGGCAGGACTGCGCCTTAATGTGAGTTAACTTGATGTAATTAGGAAGGTGGTGACAGACTGCTAATGCTCTGCTCATTAAAGTCTTAAACCTCAGAGGTTTTGTTGCCAGTTGAAGCCATGCAAGCTTAGATACTTCTGCAATTATCTGGCCGAAGATTCCTGAACACCAGCAGAGAAAACTGATGTGTCCCTGTGAGAGTCTCCTAAAGTCAGATCTTAACATTCTCACAGCGTTCCTTTTTTCTAACCATTTCTACTCTCTCTGTGTCCTTGTTTTCCTTAATGTATCCAGAAGAGTTCAGGATCTGAGCTGGAGGAGATTATGAGGAGGCGACAGGAGAAGCTGGCAGCCAGCACCGCTGATTCCGGGGTGGAGTCTTTCGACGAAGGCAGCACCCACTGAGCATTCCCTCCCTTGCCTCAGTGTTCCTTATCCCTCCCAATGCAGCCGACTTTCACTTCCACTATTCATCCGCAGGCGGCCGCAGATCGTGCAGAGTTCGTGGAGATCATGCGTCGCAGACAGGAACTCCTTAGCTCATCTCCATAGAAACGAACTGACCTCTGGATATCCAAGCTGTTAAAGAATCTACAGAACCTTCTGCCATGTTTGCCTGAACTTTACAGGAACGTTTCTTTGGGATATTTTTTCCTGCTTGGTAGCTAAATCTTTCTAAAGCAAAGCCTCACAGTATTAATGTTGGATCATCTGAATGTCAGCAGCTGCTCTTTGTGCCTCTCAGGTTTATTAACACTTTCTAAACTACCGTAATAGTAATAATTTGAGACTGCTTTCTGCTTCCAGTAAGTCGGAGTTGCACATAACATGTTTAAATCCCCTTTAAAGTGATATCATTTCAAATATTTAGATATTTTTGTATAGGTTTTGGATTTGTTTGTCAATCTATTGAATAAATATACAGATTCATTTGTGTCTCTGTTCAAACGCTCTGTCAATATAATTTTTTGCTGCATTAATGCCAACCTTGATTCATTTCTCAGGATATATATTTTTTTCATATTTCAAATCTGGAATCAATCTGTATCCATGGAGAAAACCTATGGTAGTTTTTCCTGCATTTTTCAGCAAATTCAGATTTTTCAGTCTCTGAATGGAATAAAAATCGCGAGAGGCCCAAAAGAAGCTGTTGGTTCCTATGTTTCAACAGATGAGTAAATATGTCGTAGACTGATGCATTTAAGGCCACAATGTTTGCTTTATGATGTTTTAAGATTGTATGAATTAACTTTTAAACTAAAGGATAGGTTGATGTTTTCGCATTTAAGATCCAACTGCTGTAGAAAACTTATTTTTTCATAATTTGATGATTTTCATGGTATATGTGAGAATGTATTTCAGCCGAAGGTGAAGATTGTTGGACTAAAATGAATGTGGAGCTTCATGAATGTTTTCTCTGTACGCTGCCCACCTGTACGGGTAACCTCAGCATCTTATGAGCCGTCTTAACTGCTCTGGTGATCAGAGTGTCAGCTGGGAGTCTGATGGACCTTTAGGACTAAACAAATATTGAAATGGGTTGGAACATCTAGTAGTTTCTCAGATTCTGTTTTGCAGTTTCATTCTATGCTGTCAGATTATCCCCGAAACTGACAAAAGGCAATCTGCCCAAGTTACAAGAAAAATTTATCAAACTGCAGCAAATCTGAGTTTTTTTTTTCCTCCAGTGAGTTGCATAAAAGGCTGGAGATCACTAAAGATAAATTAAATATTTTTGCTGGAATCTGCTTTCATAAATGTTTTAGTACTTTTTCCACCATGTTGCTGCAGTTTAGAGATTTGACTGCAGTTTCTTGGAGATCTCTGAAATGCTGGTAAATATAAAGGTCTGGAATTGGCCAATTCTCTTCAATCTGGTCAGCTACACCTAAGTTCCTGCTACTGTATAAAGTTTAACTCAATCGGAGCAAAGTTTCACCTGGTGGTCAATCTTGACAATTTCAAAAATAATTATGACCTTATAAACCACAAATCTGGGTGTTTTGTTTTTGACGGTAGCCCAGAAGAAGGGTATTATTCTGCTGACGTTTCACAGTTTAAATTCATTTCTGTTCAGCCTTTTTTAAGTTTTCCCTGATTCAGGCTCTAAGAGCAGCCCAGAAACTAAAATGTTGGACTCTTTAGGGAAAACTGAAGGAATGTTCAAAGGTTTATCATTTAGAAACTAAGTCTGAAGGTGTTTAGATGTTTATCTGGATGGTCTGGTGTCTGAACATTTACAGGCTGCAAGAAGTCACTCTGAAGCTCATGATATGACCTCTAAGATTTTCCTGATTAACTCAGAACATCAGTTCAAAAACTTGATCAGCTTTTCTTATTCAGATCTATCATATTAAAAGCTTTCCATGAATGCTTTTAGCATGAAAGGTCAGCAGAAGTGTTGGCTAATCCAGATGAAAGCAGATAAAAGAACCTGAGCTTTTACTTTGGGTCATGCAGGTCATGAACCTCCAAATCAGTGAACCGATGTTCTGAAGAAGAGGCTGAGATATTGGTAGAACCAATATCAAGACATATATAATGTTTGGATTATTTCTTTTTTAGGGATCAAATTGAAAGTAATTTCATTTATGCACTTAAATTTATGAAAACATCTGCTGAAGTTTATGTTTGAGGATGTGTGTGCATGTGGACTGTAGTGCTGTAATACAACCTGATAATTAAAGCACAGTACATAAAACCTCATGTTAATCATGTGATGATAGATATTTGTACCTAATTAGGTGTAGTGGCCAATCAGAAAGCAGCATTTGTACAAGGGTAGTTTTCATTGTGCCTTTTTTCCATATACTTCTACTCATATGCAATAAAAAAATCCATTATCCCATGACTTCTGAGTCCTGCATTAAAAATGTCTTCTAGTTTAATAAATGAAAATATCTAGGGGGTTGATTGCTTTCTTTAAAAAAATAATCAGTTTCAAAATGTTATGTTGGATGAAGTTTCAAGAGAGAAAGAAGACAGAAATTGTACTACAACAATTATACACAGACAAACTTGGTTTGATTAAAGTCCCAAAGTGGTCAGAGAAATAACCTTAATCTGACAAAAGTAATACGAAATTAAATTAAAGAAATTTCATCAACAGAATTATAAAAAAAATTAAAATGCTCATAGTATAGTATGGCCTATACTTTTAGCATTACTGTATTCTGCTCTTTGTTGGTGGTCGCATTTCCCTGCTGCTTCTGCTCCTCCACCTCCCTGATCTCTCCTTGCTTTTTGTTGTGTCTCTTCCCTCTGAGCCTTCTCTTCATATCACCTGAATCAAACAATGGATCTGATCAGCTGGTCTCTTAATGCAATTGATCAAATTTTCTCAACTGCAAGACAGGATAAAGGGGACTCAGTCGTAAAACACACCATTCCCCAACCCTTTCAGGAGTCTAGGGTGTATCTCACAAAGTATTCCGCCTTGAAGCGAGAGTGCACATCCGTGTTTTTAATCCCATCTCACCTTTGAGTTCAACCACCGCAACCAGCTTGCGTTCCATCACACCAGCTCACGGCTCACTTAATGGTCCTGCTCGTTTACAGCCTTTGTGAGTGCATCAACTGCGGCCTGCAGCCAAATCCTAGCCCAAATTGTCCCCATCATCCTCTGTAATTGTAGATATATCAGGTATCCTTCAAGGTATCCTTCAGGGTATAAAACCTTGTTTTGTACCTAACCCTTGTTTTTTTTTTTAACACAAACTGGTAAATAAAGATGATTCTGATTCTAATGTTACATTTTACTTTAACACTGTGCACCATGAAAACTTAATTTTACAAGGCAAACTGTTCCAATAATTTAATCAAACAAAAAATTGTAAAACATTTTCTTTCTGTGAAAATGCATATTAATTAATTATTATTCTATATCCAACATTTATTAATCGTATTAATAACTACCATGGTCAGATTTTTTCATATGTAACAAATCGTGTAAGAGAATTCAAGAAATGCGAAAATTTGATTAGATCTAAAAGGTTTTAGTGAAGGGAGGTGATCAATCCAAACGAGTTTCTCCCAGCAGAAAGATTTAATCTAATTGTTGCTAAGCAGAAGAAACAAACACGATTTTAAGAAACTTCTAAATCTGAAATTTAGTAGCTGTTAATCAAGCAATCACATTTTTCCAGTGGATCCACCAGAGAGAACCTATTACCAGCTTATTCACCAACAGCTGCTAGAATGTGTTTAGTCCAGTTGAAAACCTTTCCATTTACTAATCAACAAATAGTTAAACCGCATATGTTTGAATGTATTATGTTGAAACATGTCTCTGCTAACTAGGAAAATATATTTATCTTAGTTGTAGATTTGTTTTAGATGTCTTATGAGACTAAATGTGGAGAAAAACCCCAGCTCGCTCCACAAAATCACAGCGCGTCTGGCAGGTTTAGAAGCTCCTAAAACAAAATTACAAAATCCTGAAAACCAAAGAGGACTGAAGCAGATCGAGGGGAGGGTTTTCTCCCTTTTACAATATTTTTTATGACATACTGCCTCCATTTAATAAGGATTTTGAACCTAAAATGTAGCAGAGAAAACACAAACATGGCCATGTTGGAGGCAGCGAGCGAGCGGCATGCCCGGGTTGTTTCTTCCCGGTTCTCATGTGTGTTATAAATCCCGCCTCCTGCTCAGAGTTTCAGACGTTCAGAGGAACGTTGAGAGAGAAACATGGCAGAAGAAGCTCCAGCAGCTGCACCGGCTAAAGCCCCGGCAAAAGCCCCCAAGAAGAAGTCCGCTCCTAAGGCCAAGAAGGATGGACCCTCCTTGTCCAAACTGATCGTGGACGCCGTTGCCGAGTCCAAGGAGCGCAAAGGAGTGTCTCTGTCGGCGGTGAAGAAGGTCCTGGCTGGTAAAGGGGTGGATGTAGCTAAAGCCAACAAGCGGATCAACACGGCCGTCAGCAAGTTGGTCACGGCAGGTAAGCTGGCTCATACCAAAGGGACCGGAGCCTCTGGCTCCTTCAAGCTCGCCAAGAAGGAGTCCAAAGCCGAAAAGCCAGCCAAGAAAGTGGTGAAGAAAAAGGCTCCTGTCAAAGCAAAGAAGCCCGCCGCCAAGAAGGTCACCACCCCTAAAAAACCCGCCGCTAAGAAGGCAGCAGTCAAGAAGTCTCCGAAGAAGGCAGCAGCGGCCAAGAAAACCGTGAAAAAAGTGGTGAAGAAGAGCCCCAAAAAGGCCGCCGCCGCTAAGAAGCCAAAGGCTGCTGCTAAGAAGCCTGCAGCCAAGAAACCTGCAGCCAAAAAACCCAAAGCCAAGAAGGCCACCAAGTAGATGGTTGCTTCAAGCGGCTTTCGCTGCACCAAAGGCTCTTTTAAGAGCCACCACATCAAAACTAAAGAGCATTCCGAACATCAGTCCTCTGTTTAGATACGCATTAAGGTATTGATTTTTAAAAAACGATGGGTCTGCTTCCATTTTAACTCATAATCCTAAATTGATTAATTTAGGTCATTTTTTTTTTGCTTAATGTTTAGGTAACCTAAACATGAAGCTACGGATGGTAGTTAATATTGAAAATTAAACACTTTAATTTTCAAGACCAACATACTGCCATATGGTATGAATTAGTCATACTTCATGAGCTCAGACTTCATTTATAGTTACTGCTTTCTTGTGTGGCCTCTTAACATAATGGAATGATGCATATAAGAAAACAGTTAAGGAACTGTTATTTCATTGTTTTACTAGAAACAATAATGATGAAAATGTAAAAATCTATAATTATGTAGGGATCATATAATCTTGCTTAGGTTTAGACAACTTTTGTATACACAGTGTATACAAATCGAAATTATATTAACATTTTGTGGTAGTTTGGGGGGCAGGTGAAATATTCCTGGCAGTTTGGAGACATCAATGATATTTCTAGAATCTAGAAGTAACGGGCTCTCAAAACTTCCCTCCTTTATTTTGAAATTTACAATCCAACCAATAGCTGAGCCTGAAACGTTTTCCGCCCATCAAAATGTGAGCCAATCAGAGCTCACTTCGAGCTGCCGTTCCCTTTATAAACCCTACGTCCCCACGGCAGCTCGTGTATTTCTTCAGCTTGATAGGAGAAGAAGTAAAGAAGCCATGGCCAGAACCAAGCAGACCGCCCGTAAATCCACCGGAGGAAAGGCTCCCAGGAAGCAGCTGGCTACCAAAGCTGCCCGTAAGAGCGCCCCGGCTACCGGTGGAGTGAAGAAGCCCCACCGTTACAGGCCCGGTACCGTGGCTCTCCGAGAGATCCGCCGTTACCAGAAGTCCACTGAGCTGCTCATCCGCAAGCTGCCCTTCCAGCGTCTGGTCAGAGAGATCGCTCAGGATTTCAAGACCGACCTGCGCTTCCAGAGTTCCGCCGTCATGGCTCTGCAGGAGGCCAGCGAGGCTTACCTGGTTGGTCTGTTCGAGGACACCAACCTGTGCGCCATCCACGCCAAGAGAGTCACCATCATGCCCAAAGACATCCAGCTGGCTCGCCGTATCCGTGGAGAGAGAGCATAAAGCTCACATCGGCTTAGAAACACCCCAACGGCTCTTTTAAGAGCCACACACCATCTCTAAGAGCATTTGTTCTAAATCTTAAACACTAGTTTGACTTGAAGTTGAATACTAACTAGATCAGCTGAGCCTTTGTCGTTTTGTTGAAGCTGAATCTAGTAGGTTAAAATATTGTGATCTGCTACAACTGAGTGCATCATCCAGGTCATCAAAACTTCATTAAGGCAGATGTAAGACATTTTGAAAGCCACATAGGGTGTCCTAGTACACTATTTGAGTTATTCTAGCTAATGTATTTCCTATTTAAGTTTAAACATTCAAATATCTATTCCATTAATGTGACTGGAACATATGTTGATGTGAAAAATTAAAAATTAATGAGGACACTTGTGAGGAAGGACTAAAATATTCAGTTCAATACATTAGCCTACAATAAAAACGTTGAGTGATAAGTGAGAGGAGCTCTATGAGAAAATTAAGTGGATCAACATTATCCTAATTAACTTTCTTTTGGCTTAAAGGGGAAATTAAACGTTCAACCAAACTAACTTAATTGTTCTGTTGGAGTACCTCAAACGGTGACGTCACGGGGAACAGGAGAAACTGACTGCAAAGGAAAGAGTAAAGAGCCTCTGAAGGGAAGTAGCATTATGAACACGATGGATTCCCCTCCTATAAAATTGACAAAGTTTTATCTAAGATTAATGCCAGACTTTATATATTATTTATATTTCTTGAGATGTTACCAACCAGTAATTTCAAAAATTAAATGTCGATTCATTGTTGTGTCTGGAAAAAAAAAAAGCTATAAGTCTCGTAGAATAAAGTTATTTAACAACTTTAAGAGTGATGGTACTTTAAATGCTACCTGGCCAGGCTCCACAAGTGAGGCTGCCTCAAACCAGGTGAGTAATTCAAATCACTTGCAGGTCTACAGCTTTCTTTGAAGGGTTTGAAAGCTTTCCTTGAAATGCCACAAAAGTAAAAAATTCTCTTCCTAAAATTAAAAAAATTCTCTTGACAGAAGACACTACAAGTTAGAGGGTTACTTTTCATTTTGATCGAATTCACAAAAATTAACCTAAAAATGAACCAAAGCTGAATTTGTAACATGCAGATCTTAGTGGTGAAAGATTTATACAACCCATATGTCCTGGGATTTAGTTCTCATGTGATGTCGTGGTTTAATCTCTGGTAAATCATTTATTTTATTTGGCACTAACACTTTTCCCAGCAGGGGATATGCTTTTTGATTTTTTTTCCCCTGCACCCTGTCAATATTCATACAGAACTTATTTTTTCTTTTCGTAATTTCCAGAAGAACTTTGTCTCTAATCACTTAAACTTACAGCCTTTGAAATAATAAAACAAGAAGAGAATATAAAAAACAACAAAAAACAACCCCCTAAAAATGGATGCTTGGTTATTTTAACCTGAAGTGTTAACTAACCTACTTCCAATGCTTAGTTATTGTTTTTTGCTTCTTCAAAATAGTTTCCATTGTGGGATTATTTTAATTATATTTAAAATAAATAGACGTAGATATTCAGATGTTGGAGTGTATTTATGTAAGAAAATAATTACATATTAACATGTAAAAAGGTAGCATTTACAGTAGCATTTCTCTTGTATATTTTACGTCGTTAAAACTAATGTTTATTGTAGAAAATTGACATATGGCTTTTGAGACACAACAATGAATAGACATGTTGTTTTGGCATAACAAAATATAGGATACTACTATGGAAGAGGATTAGGGCTAAGTTAACTGATTTTTAAATTTTATTTCAGTATAACATTCTGACTTTTTTGTCACAATTCTGGCTGTTTTCTGACAGCTAACAAACATGTTAGCATCATGCCATAGCCATATCTGTTTTGGAGACTAAACTAGTTCTCTTGTTTTAATCACCTTCTGCTCTGCCATTATTGAAATAGCATCACCAGGGACCCCTCTGGTACCTAAACAATTGCCTAATTGCATAATTTTCCACTATTGTTACTGTTCCTCCCACACAACTCACATCTTTGTCAGTGAAGCTGAGTGCTCCCACATCTCTTGATTCCTGGTGCCCATCTACATTTAGAGCCACAATTCTGAGATTAAAGTCAGAATTCGGACTTTTTTCCCAAATTAAATTGAAATAAAATTTAAAAATCTGTATTTTTTTTTGTTTTCAGTGCCCTTAATCCTTTTCCGTATATTACTGTGCAGTAATTTATTGAAATTTACATCCAAAATGAAACAACTGCTACCTTTATGGTTCGGGCTTTTATTTTGTAACTCTCAGCAAATACGAAGCGGAAGTTTCCTCCCATGATCGTACACTTGACACAGACCATTTTGATTGGACGGTTGCCTTTCTGCTCAGACCTGGCCAATCACTGACCAGACAGGATCTATAAAGTATTTACGCAGGCTGCGTCATACACTTCTTTCATTTCTCGGAAAGAAACAACCTTGTCAGAAATCATGTCTGGACGTGGAAAGACCGGAGGCAAAGCCAGAGCAAAGGCCAAGACCCGCTCCTCTCGTGCTGGGCTGCAGTTCCCAGTCGGCCGTGTTCACAGGCTGTTGAGGAAGGGCAACTACGCTGAGCGCGTGGGCGCTGGAGCTCCCGTCTATCTGGCTGCAGTGCTGGAATACCTGACTGCTGAGATCCTGGAGTTGGCTGGAAACGCTGCTCGTGACAACAAGAAGACCAGGATCATCCCCCGCCATCTGCAGCTGGCTGTCCGCAACGACGAGGAGCTCAACAAACTGCTTGGCGGAGTTACCATCGCTCAGGGCGGTGTTCTTCCTAACATCCAGGCTGTGTTGCTGCCCAAGAAAACCGAGAAAGCTACCAAGACCAAGTAAAGCACCTCCACCGAACTAATAAACCCAACGGCTCTTTTAAGAGCCACCCACCCTACTTAAAGAGAAACATTCCTTTATCATTATTTTTCTGATGAAAGTAATTAATCAAACTAGGTAAATAAAAGCTCCCTGTTGGGTTCAGTTGTTGCAAATACATAATCCATATTTTGTGGTTACTTTCATTCTTGGTTTCTTCCCTCTGCCTCTTCAGAAGGTTCAGACTTCTCCAAATGTTTATTTAAAACTGGCCAGGCAATGTTTAAATAAAAGCCTTCCTTCAGAATGAATGCTTTAAATGGAGCATATAGAGCAAAGGAATTTAAACTTCTGCTCTGGTAAAAGACATGTTTGAAAAGGGGCTTAATGAAATGTTAAATATTTCTAATTCCAGTGATCTCTTTAACAAACTGACTCACATCCTCAACTCTTAATTTATCTAGATTAAGGTTGGTAACTGAGTTATCAGTTTAACAAAAGCTGCTCTGAATGGGTGCACTCTGAGTTGACTGATCTGATGAGTCACCATGACAACAGGCAAACAGGAAGTGACACTTTCAGAATACTTTTAAAATAAGCAACAGCTGCAAAAAACATAAAAAATAAAAAAAATGCATATTTGCATCATATATACTAATCCTCTGAGCTTCTATATCAATGCGTTTTTTCAGCATGTTTTTTCTCCCACATCGTTTACATTTGATCACTGCTGCACTTTAAGAGATGAAAATGTTTATTCACTGTCTGAAAAGCTGTACTAAAAGAAAACATTTTAAAGTCTAAATCTAAGCTTTTTTCAGTCTCTTTCTGTCCTGCTCTGTGCTGCTATGGGCGCAGCGGACAACAGCGTAGAGGAGGGCTGAGGCCACTAAAGAATAATAGGTTTTAATTATAGGGGAAATTTGACGTTTATCAGATTGACTGAATATGTATTTATTTCTGAAATGCATTTCTTCATAATGAAAATAAAACAAATGATGAGCAGTAACAAGCAACCTGTCTTTTGAGACAGAACCCAATACTTTTGATCTGATATAGCAGACATAAAGACTGAAGTAAAGCGCTTTCACAGAGCAGAGAGGATCTCTATCCATTTAATTAATATTTGACAAATGCAGGCAATTGTAGAAACACGTTTTCACAATGCATTTTCTCTCTCACAGCAATAATTGACTTCTAAAATAACGAACACGCAATAATAGTAGCATATATACTTTGCATTAATATTTATTTCCTAACAATATTTCATTCTTCTATTTATTTGGAATTTACTGTTTTACTGACATTGTTTCTGGCGTTACAGAATTGAAACGGAAATGGCTCCTATCCTTGGTACGTACTTACAAGCGGAAGTAGAAAATTGACGTCGAACTGCTTTCACTTACGTCCGTCAAACGTGTTTAAACGCTTGTGCTCTTACAGGCTGTAGTTATTGTTGAACTGCAGTACACAACTGATTCATCATGAGTGGACGTGGAAAGGGAGGAAAAGGACTCGGAAAAGGAGGCGCTAAGCGTCATCGCAAAGTCCTCCGTGATAACATCCAGGGCATTACCAAACCCGCTATCCGCCGTTTGGCCCGCCGTGGTGGAGTCAAGCGCATCTCCGGTCTCATCTACGAGGAGACCCGCGGTGTCCTGAAGGTTTTCTTGGAGAACGTCATCCGTGATGCCGTCACCTACACCGAGCACGCCAAGAGGAAGACAGTGACCGCCATGGATGTGGTCTATGCTCTCAAGAGGCAGGGCCGCACTCTCTACGGCTTCGGAGGTTAAATTCCTACTCGATCCCACAAAACAACGGCTCTTTTAAGAGCCACCCACATCTCCTAAGAGCCATTTCCTTAAATAACCTGTTATCAAAAATTTCCAGTCATTTAATGAAAGTTAAATAAATACATATTTTTTACAGTTCGCTTTAAAGCCGTGGGATGAGGATGCGCCGCCACCCCATGTTGAAATTCTTTAATAATGCGTTACTCTTGTCTGTTATCAAGGGGCGTCCTATCGCAGGCCATTTTGAAATGTATTGGCTCGATAGACTGAATATTGTGAATGTCTCAAATGAGAATAAATTGCTTCCTAGTAAAAATGAACATTTCAGATATATTAAACTTAAGTCCTACTTGTACAAATGATGTCACGTTTCCTATTCAGGCGTATTGGGCTTTTACCTCGAGATATCTTTAACATTCTCCCTAACTAAAATAATCATTCTTCCTATCTAAACGTGATGAATGACTAGGATCAACTCTAATTTTAGATCATGTGCCGTCCATAACAGACTGTTAGTCAAAATGACTCTTCATCTTGTAGCTATATAGAAATGCTATTCTTGACATCTAAAATATATTTCTGTTAGTACAAATATAGTTAAAGATATCAAGTACTTATTTCATGAATACTTAAATTAGAATTCCAGATATCTCAATTCTAATGATGCCTATCTAAAATTAAGTTTTAGATACTTTCAAGACAATAATGAGGCTCTGTTCTAATATAAAATAGGCAGGCTGACTAGTTACATTTCTATTATAGATAGCACTAAAACGTTCTACCTAGTCACACTTACAATACTCCTAGTCAGAATTGTATTCTAGATATCACTAATTACATTTCTATCAGTAGAAACTAAATTTTAAGTACTCTGAAATCAAATTTAATTTCAGATATCTACAAATCTTTTCTGGCAAATGTAAAATATGACAGATTACTGGATTAAAGAAAGTTCTAGTTTACTTCATGCTATCACACATAATTCCCTCCTCCATAACATGGAAAGAAATTAATTTAGCTGCAAGTCTTTAATTGTTTATTCCTCTCTTCATCAACAACAAATGATTTTGGTAGCATTTGTTTCTTATTTGCTAGAGTTTTGAAGGGGGGAACCATATATTTTAGCTGAAATAATCCGTTCCCCCTCCATAACACCGGATTAAATAAATATACCTGCAACTCTTTAACTGTGTTTATTCCTCTCTTCAACAACAAAATGTGGATTTTGGAGACATTTGATCATTATTTGCTGAAGTTATGAGAGGAAAATCAAATATTTTAGCCACCTGATATAATCTGTTCTGCCAATCACATGAAAAAAAAAAAAAAAAAAAAAATCTTGTGAATTTTATAACTGTTGTTATTTTTCTATATTATGTTTGAAACATTTATTTTATATTTTGAAATCCCAAAAAATAAAATAAAAATAAATATGACTGTTGGTTTGATGATCTTTATAAAATGTATTTTCAATTCTCAATTCAAGATGTCTGGAGGAGGATTGCTCCAGATATTTGGTTTGAACTATTTTTGCAATTTATAAATTGTTAGATAAATCTTTAAAAGAAAATACATTTCATAAAGATCATCAAAGGGGGGACAGATTATATCAGGTGGCTAAAATATACGATTTCCTTTTGATAACTCCAGCAAATAATGATGAAATGTCACCATATCCACAGGGTTTGTTGTTGATGAAGAGAGGAATAAACACATTTAGACTTACAGGTGAATTAATTTCTTCCCATGTTATGGAGGAGGAACAGATTATTTCAGGCAGCTGAAATATCCATTCTCTCCTCTCCTCCTCCCATATCTTTCGGAAATAAAGAGCCTATGCTTCCAATTTCTCAAAAATAGTTATGTGTGATAGCACGTAGTATACTACAAATGTCCTTCATCCAGTAATCTGTAATGTTTTAAATTAGAACCGGATTTATAAGAAAGTCTACTCTGAGATCTTTTCAGGAGCTCTTAATATTTCTTTCCCACTGTCAGCCAGTTTCCATCCTCTTATATCAGCAATGAAAGTGATAAATACACACTATGTGTTGAAAAACTGTTTGGTGACTGACTTTTATTTCTGTCAGGTTTAAGTGATAGAAGTTGGAAAAAGACCTGTTCTCTTGGTGTTTAAAAACAACAACAAAAACAGCTTAAAAGGACCTTGTCTATTTATTTACTTTAAAATTGTATAGACAACAGCTGCTGGTAAAACTGGATGTTACAACCTTGACATTAATATATGAATTTTTTTAGTGGGAAATTATCAGAAGAGCTGTGAAAATAGTCCCATCTGCCATGTCCGCCTCTCTGGCTTCAAAAAGGGAAACAGAATTTCATAAAACACCGGGACAGAGAACATCTGGAAGTCAGTCAGAGCTTCACATCCCTGAGACATCAGTCTGTTTAGCAACAGCTAGTGGTGACAACTTATTTTTTTCAGTGGCCCTAATCGTCATCCGTAGTTCTATTTAGGTTATTCTCAAACAGCGTTTTGTAAACGGAAATGGCTCCTATCCTTGGTACGTACTCACAAGCGGAAGTAGAAAATTGACATCTGTCTGCTTTCACTTACGTCCGTCAAACGTGTTTAAATACTTGTGCTCTTGCAAGCTGTAGTTATTGTTGAACTGCAGTGAACAACTAATTCATCATGAGCGGCCGAGGCAAAGGAGGAAAAGGACTTGGAAAGGGAGGCGCTAAACGTCATCGCAAAGTCCTCCGTGATAACATCCAGGGCATTACCAAACCCGCTATCCGCCGTTTAGCCCGCCGTGGTGGAGTCAAGCGCATCTCCGGTCTCATCTACGAGGAGACCCGCGGTGTCCTGAAGGTTTTCTTGGAGAACGTCATCCGTGATGCCGTCACCTACACCGAGCACGCCAAGAGGAAGACTGTGACCGCCATGGATGTGGTCTATGCTCTCAAGAGGCAGGGCCGCACTCTCTACGGCTTCGGAGGTTAAATTCCAACTCAATCCCACAAAACAACGGCTCTTTTAAGAGCCACCCACATTTTTTTTAAGACGATTCCTGCTATTTAAAGTTTGATTAGAAACAATATTGGGTTTATGGCGGGTACTAATTTGCTTTAAAAATATACTTCACTGACATTTCAGGAAATATCATTCTCTATTGTCCCGTTATGGGAAAATTGTATAACAGCAGCAGAAAGGTTATAGCAACAGTGGACACAAATGTGCACCATGGTGTATAAGAACAGAAAATGGTATAAATGTTGTATAAAGCTAATGCAATGAAAGTATAGCTGGATTTGATTTCCTCTTTTTCATTTTGCGTATGAACAAAAGGACAAATGCCTATACAAAGTCACATCTGTACATTAGTGACACATGGTCTTTGAAAATCAAAAGATAACTATATGTATCTTTTGCTTAAGCCCGTTTATCTCCACTTTTATCCTTTAAAAAAATTCTTCAGACTTGTATTAGTTTTTCCTTATTTCAAGTGACTACATTGCTCTTTTATTCTATTTTAGGTCTCATTGTTCAAACGCCCATTTATATTTAAAGCAGTTCCTTTCACTGTATATTTTATTTCCATAACTATTTTTTGTGATCCAACATATTCCTGTGGTTTTTTCTCAATAAACATGTTTATTTTAGTTTTTTTTTTGCCATTAATTTTCCACCTCCATGGGCTAGTATCAACGGCCAACTCTCATCAAATTTCTATACACTGTTTACAAAATAATAAAGTTTGTCTAAGTCATAGAAGAACATAGAAGGGTGACAGCTTTGGCAGTAGAGTTAGAGTAGCAAAGTTAGTTGGTTTATATCCTTCTCATGAATGATTCTCATAAATTCTGATTAAAGTACAGATTTTTGTTTGTATTTGTTTATTTTTATTTGTGACAGGATTAGTCCTCCATACCTTAGGCTAAAGTTCTTTTTTTCTGTCCACTGCATTTGTCATTTTACCTCTTCCTCAGATTATTGGGTTCAGAACTAGTATGAAAATGGAGGCAACTAAGGCAGATGCATTACTCCATTGATAAAATAAACCTTTTATTTCTGTACCATGTTCTCTAGTAACCACAAACAGGCAAAGGAGTTGGAAGGCAACCAGACTTTCTCTCAGTTGTTCATGTTTCAACACCTATCTAGGAGTCTTATATTTAAGCAGCATGGAAGCTCATTACAAGGCAGATGTTCTTTGCTCTTCTGGCTTTCTGTTGTGCATGAACTGTTTTGAACATTTTTATTCCTTGATGACAGAGGCAGGGGACTAATAGATAAACACAGAAATGCTCAGATCGTTTCTTACTGTGATGCTACAACAGGAGCACACTAAGAAGTATTGCAACTCCCATCCCCCCTCTCACACACACAGAACCAGCAAGAGTGTCATTGAGGACCAATAGCTGCTCTAACCTTCCGAGCATGTAAACCAATCAGAGACAGGGTACAACACAGACTCTTTTACATACACCCTGTATATAATCACTGGTCTCCTCCTCCAGTTCATTCATTGTTGTTTTCAGAAACATATCAGGATGCCTGAACCCGCTAAGTCTGCGCCCAAGAAGGGCTCGAAGAAAGCCGTGACCAAGACCGCCGGCAAAGGAGGCAAGAAGAAGAGAAAGACCAGGAAGGAGAGCTACGCCATCTATGTGTACAAGGTGCTGAAGCAGGTGCACCCCGACACCGGCATCTCCTCCAAGGCCATGAGCATCATGAACTCGTTCGTCAACGACATCTTCGAGCGCATCGCCTCCGAGGCTTCCCGCCTGGCTCACTACAACAAGCGCTCTACCATCACCTCCAGGGAGATCCAGACCGCTGTGCGCCTCCTGCTGCCCGGTGAGCTGGCCAAGCACGCAGTGTCTGAGGGAACCAAGGCTGTCACCAAGTACACCAGCTCCAAGTAAACTCTCGCTGCCGCAAACTCAACAAAGGCCCTTTTAAGGGCCACACAAATGTCAAGAGCAATTGTTTCCTTTTTAACCATTATTTCAAGGGGGGGATATTTGTATTCTGGTCAATGTTTGTATTGCACATTGTACACT